GTCTACACGGGATGCTGCACCTGGTGAACGTCTGTCACACCCGTACCTAGGCCGAGCGTTGCTAATCGGAGGCGCATCCAACAACGGTAACCCCCCCCCCGCCGCAAACGCGTCGCCTCGCAGAAGCATTTCCACCGGACTAACGCAAAATCGTGACGAGCCCCGGATAAACCCGCCATTTTAAGCCGCCGAGGAGGGGTAGCCGCTCGCGTTTGTCACAATTTAAATGAAGGGACGAGCACAGATGCCAAGGTGTGCCACTTTATCGTGGTGCTTGGCACAAACAAAAACCACATTAACATCGATGAACGCATTCGCACGTGAAACGCCGGGGCAGTCGGGCAGCCGGCCGGACACGTGACGATGCAGTCTCTCTGGTGGCTGCGCAAAGGCAGACTGTCGCCGCCGCCGCTGCCGCCGCCGCTGCTGCTGCTGCAAGCTGAAGTCGTCTCGGCAAAAGGATCGCGGTGTGGAGAGATTCTCTGGCAACAACAAAAAACCGGCGCGGCCTTTTTGGTCCCCGCACGCTCACAGGTGGTCATTTATTTAGGGCTGGGCAGGTAAATTAAAGCGAGCCTCGCCTGCCTGCGGTCAGGATATTTGATTGGTTTAAGAAGATTAAAACCCTCTGTGTTCCTTGTCCACTCAACACAAGGGCACAGGCATTTCATTATTGTATTACATGCCGTACTCTAATGTATATATATTTTTAAAGCTTCAAATCAAGATTCTATTTTTTTAAATCTAATACTTGTTTATTGTAAATAAGCAGCGTGTAATGCTCTATGATATCAGGCTTATGTTGACTTAAAGCAAAGAAGAAAGTCCCTCCACTTGCTATTGGCGCTGCGTGTACGTGATGTCACTGATTAGGGTAATGTCTTACTGGTTAGGGTAATGTGTCACCTGTTAGGGTGATGTGTCACTGGTTAGGGTGATGTGTCACCTGTTAGGGTGATGTGTCACCGGTTAGGGTAATGTGTCACTGGTTAGGGTAATGTGTCACCGGTTAGGGTGATGTCACCTGTTAGGGTAATGTGTCACGGGTTAGGGTAATGTGTCACCTGTTAGGGTAATGTGTCACTGGTTAGGGTAATGTGTCACTGGTTAGGGTAATTTGTCACTGGTTAGGGTAATGTGTCACCGGTTAGGGTAATGTGTCACCTGTTAGGGTAATGTGTCACCTGTTAGGGTGATGTGTCACTGGTTAGGGTGATGTGTCACCTGTTAGGGTGATGTGTCACCGGTTAGGGTAATGTGTCACTGGTTAGGGTAATGTGTCACCTGTTAGGGTAATGTTTCACTGGTTAGGGTAATGTGTCACTGGTTAGGGTAATGTGTTAACTGTTAGGGTAATGTGTCACTGGTTAGGGTAATGTTTCACCGGTTAGGGTAATGTGTCACCTGTTAGGGTAATGTGTCACTGGTTAGGGTAATGTGTCACTGGTTAGGGTAATGTGTCACTGGTTAGGGTAATGTGTCACCTGTTAGGGTAATGTGTCACTGGTTAGGGTGATGTGTCACTGGTTAGGGTGATGTGTCACTGGTTAGGGTAATGTGTCACCTGTTAGGGTAATGTGTCACGGGTTAGTGTAATGTGTCACTCGTTAGGGTGATGTGTCACTGGTTAGGGTAATGTGTCACCTGTTATGGTAATGTGTCACCTGTTAGGGTAATGTGTCACTGGTTAGGGTGATGTGTCACTGGTTAGGGTAATGTGTTACCTGTTAGGGTAATGTGTCACTGGTTAGGGTAATGTGCCACTGGTTAGGGTAATGTGTTACCTGTTAGGGTAATGTGTCACTGGTTAGGGTAATGTGTCACTGGTTAGGGTAATGTGTCACTGGTTAGGGTAATGTGTCACCTGTTAGGGTAATGTGTCACCTGTTAGGGTGATGTGTCACTGGTTAGGGTGATGTGTCACTGGTTAGGGTGATGTGTCACTGGTTAGGGTAATGTGTCACCTGTTAGGGTAATGTGTCACTGGTTAGGGTGATGTGTCACTGGTTAGGGTAATGTGTTACCTGTTAGGGTAATGTGTCACTGGTTAGGGTAATGTGTCACTGGTTAGGGTAATGTGTTACCTGTTAGGGTAATGTGTCACTGGTTAGGGTAATGTGTCACCTGTTAGGGTAATGTGTCACCTGTTAGGGTAATGTGTCACCTGTTAGGGTAATGTGTCACTGGTTAGGGTGATGTGTCACTGGTTAGTGTAATTGTCTTTCCAGCAAGCTTAGGCAAGCAGTAAACGACATTGTCTATCAGCTGTGGATATGCACCAACAGGAACATGCGATAATGTGAGGTGCAATTGCACTTACTGTTTACACAGTGCAGGTTGCAAGACACTACGTCGTTAATGAAGCACACGCTGCTAAAGCGTGCACAGAAAGACTAACGCTGTAAAACATGCGCGTAGATGCCGTGGTGACACCGTGTGTGTGTGTGTGTGTAGGTCGAAGACCATTTTACAAATCTCACCTCCGGGTGTATTCGCTGAATCACTGCGTGTGTCTCCAGCGAGCACACGAGGGAAATAATCGTTTGTTCCCCCGTGACTCGGAATGTAAAATGTTTCCGGCCGCTATTGGTGGCGTTACAATGTCGATGCTTCTCTCGACTGGCTGGACCTGTGCATCTGGAGCTCTGCGCCTGTTGCTACTTTACCAATCGCCCGCGACTTGGAGATCCTGACGCTCGCTCGGTGCTTTCAGTAGAAGTGTAACCGTGAGAGCCCGGCACGTATCTATTCTTTGGTCCTTGATAATTTTGTCGTGGAACATTGCGAATGTTGTTCGGTACGCTGGGTTATTACATCATTTGGCTATTGAAACGTGAACCCACGTGGGACAACATTGACACAACACTTACTCCCTATCATGTTCGATCTGTGCCTGCCAGAGAAGGTGGCTGTCTCGTAGATTTGTTTGTAGTATAGAGAATTATGAGACAGCCACATGTGCAGCTAATTGTAAAGCATGCCTTGATGTGGGTATCCTCAAGATATTGCCATTCCACGCAGTCCTGCATGGTTGCAATCCATTTAATCTCTGCGTTTTGAACCAACGTCATCGTTCCGTGTCTGCGTGCAAAGCTCCTTTGGCTGCCATTCTGTTGCCAGTCTTGTCCGTCTGGCATCATCCCTTCTTGTGGCAAAACTCTTCTGCCGAAGCCTGCGCACTTTTCTGATCGGTTATTGCGATGTTTGATTTGTGTGTCTTTCCCAATCCGTTTGTCCGTGTTTGCATCTCTGAGAGCAATTTTGAGCGTTGCATCTCTCCCCGCATTTTTGTGAGCATTTTTTTCTTCAGATTTCGTTCAGTTTTCTTCGAGTATCCACGTTTTCGATGCGTGTTTAATATCCACCGTTGTCCACTGACTGCAAACTGCATTCGCCAGCCGCGTTGGTGCTGTTCATAGTCATGTCCAGATTCCCAAGAGGACTCCGAAACCTCTTTGTTTCATTATTAACCCTTGAACCTGCCTCAAATGTTTGCGCTTGCAATATACATTCTCCGTGTTTTTGTTGTGTCCATGGAACATTATTTTTTATTCACTTTGGTGGAATGGGTTGCATATTTACGTAGTTTCGCTCCCATATTTATTTTGAGTCTGGATTTGCAGCCTGACATAATCTTTTCCTGTAGATCACTTTCATAGGTTGATGCAGCGACTTGTATGCACACGTCAGATGGCTTCTACTTCATTCCTTGAAATTTACACCTTAATTTGTCAGTGTAATTTCGTGAATATAGTTTGGAATGTTGTGCTGAATACCCTTGATGAGAGCTTAGTAAATGCCCTTGGGTGACTCGAATTACCATTTCGGTTTTGCTGCTCGTTACTCGTTCTCAGTGTAAATGGGTTCGATAATTTAATTCCACCGAAGAAGCGTAGACATTATTGACTCGGGCCTTAGCAGCACGAAAAGCGGGAGAGCTCCCTGGCCTCACGGAATGACGCAGTGTCGTACAGAATTATCGGCACGGTTTCGTGATGTAAAAAATGGTGATGCTGTGAAAATGCCTGTCCCTGGCAATAGGAATGTGGACAACGCCCGTGGAGATGGATACCACCGCTGCGCTCCTTCAGCGCGGAGACGTTTTTTAACTCTTGGGAGATTTCAGGCGGTGTGTGAAGTGTTAAGGGGCTCGTGTCGATGTGGTGCATGAAGAGGGAATTTTTTTTTAAACATTCCTCACCGAGGTGGGATTATGTTTTCAAGGTTGGCCTGGTTGGAGGACGTTTACTTTCTGCCAGGAAGTGTGCGCAGTGATGATTGAAAGCGGGGCTGTTCATTACGGAACGGCGCTGGCTGCTGTTGACGCTCGTCTGGGCTGTGTCCGAGGATGTGTTTCTGGTGTCGCTGCGTACAGTGGGGTTGGCCATTATGCTATGGCAGCATCGGGCCCCCCCAAGCCTTCTCGCCAAATAGCGCGGGTTGTGTTATTATACGGTAATGGTACGGATTTCCATGACAATTAAAGCTCGTAGCGTGTACACGTAAGAAATAAAAATGGTAGAAATGTTAGATTTTCAACACATTGTAGTGAATATGACACAGATGTGTTTTTGTTCACGAAATTATACCCTAATGCCGCCTGTTTTTTTAGTGGAATTTTAATCAACTCTTACGTGTTTTCAGAATTTATGAAAAATGGGAGCTATTTAGTTTTGCACACCGTCCTCGGATATTAATGGTAATGAATTATAAAGAGGTGAGTTTTGGAAGACGCACAATTAAATTAATCATTGTGCTCCTTATGCATTCCATACTATGCAGGCGGGTCGTGCAAGTGCACTGTGCGGGCTTCAGTCCCCAGAAAACCATAAATATTTTATTAGGCATGATAAAGGATGGAATGTAATAACGTCTACAATGCCGGTCTGCGCTGGTGTGTTTTCTGCAGCCAGAGCCAGTCAAGAGAGTGGTTTTACATTTGTCAGGAAACGGACCTAGCCCCGGTACTAGTCGTTTATGAACCTCCCTTCTAATTGCAGGATACTCCGTAGAGACGTCTCGAGCGAGAGCGTACGTACGCCGCTGTTTCCGGGGGCCCTGACACAGAACCGGCACCATGGGCGAGCTATTCCGCAGCGATGAAATGACCTTGGCTCAGCTGTTCCTGCAGTCTGAGGCCGCCTACTGCTGCGTGAGCGAGCTGGGGGAGCTGGGCATGGTGCAGTTCCGTGACGTGAGTACACCGGTTGGCGCGCGCGCGGCGGGGTCGCTTGGCGCGGCCGGAGCGCGACGTTTGTGATGGCAGAGTTCCCCAGTTGTGCCTCCGACTCACGGTGCAATGCCGTCGTGGCCTAAGCCGTTGATGCCACCACCACCTCACCAACGCTCTCTACCCTCGGCCAGATCCTGCAGCTGTTGAACAGTCTCGCCACCCGACCTTGAGAATCTGGCCGAACATTATTCGACATTTGCTTCCAAGGTCTTTTATTTGCTTTGGTCGCTGGACTCATGGAGACCATCACAGTGCCCCATCCTGCAGACGTCCCCCACGCAGTGCAGCCGTTTTTTTCCCAGCACTCACCTGCTATGTGCATCGCCTTTCCTTGCCTTGTCACAACATTCCCTGCATCTGTCTCAGACACCCTTCCTCTGGATGGGGTATGAACCACTTCACTTTGAATGTTTCCCCAGCTAAATTACGCAACTGAACTCAAAATTGGATTGTCATGAGCACTGACGAAAATGTATTTTTTGTCTCATCGCATTGAGCTTGTATGAATCCGTTACACTCCTGCTATCTGGCTACAGAGTTTCCCCTGGATTGGTTTTCACAAACTTTCCTCATTTCTGCAGCTGAACCCGGACGTCAACGTCTTCCAGCGCAAGTTTGTCAACGAAGTGCGGCGATGCGAGGAGATGGAGCGGAAACTCAGTGAGCCTGATTGCCGCGGTGCACCGCACTTCCTCCTCGTTCAGTCTGGTCGTAGATGGCTCCGGTGTTCGGAACTCGTGCACGCTCGCCCGATTGCGCCTGTTTGCTTCGCCAGGATTTGTTGAGAAGGAGATCAAGCGGGCAGACATCCAGATCATGGACAATGGCGAAAACCCCGAGGTGCCGTTTCCCAGGGACATGATCGACTTGGAGGTGAGCTTCTTTGTGTTCGACGTTTTCTCGGAGAGCTCCGTGTGGTTATTTTTTTGTTTTTAGCCGATAGCAAAATTAATCTCAGGGTCCCCACTTGCTGCTGTTGCTTTATTGTGGTGTGAGCCTCAACAACCCTTGCGTATCCGTGCACAGGCCACCTTTGAGAAACTGGAGAATGAGCTGAAGGAGGTGAACACGAACCAGGAGGCTCTTAAGCGCAACTTTCTGGAGCTGTCGGAGCTCAAGCACATCCTGGACAAAACGCAGCAATTCTTCGAGGAGGTGAGACCCGTCTGCGCCTTTCTATTCCATTCACATCTCACCTTTGCCATTTTTGACCGACCGATTTTGCGATGGATCGTCGCCGCGGCGGTGCAGATTATTGCCGCTCCGCCACCAGCACCGCCGCCCGCTCCCACGTGCTTTTATCCGAGGTATCGATTGTCCCCCCCACCCCCCGCACCTCCGATTAGCACGGTTAGCTACGTGCTGCGCAAAAGAAGTTCAACGTACACACATCCGCGCCGCGCGTTTTCACGGCGGGCGTGAATGGTCCGTCTGTCGCCGGGTAAGAACGGAACTTGAATGCATCCGTGTTATTGTTTTAATTAAATTAGGCACGGGTGATTAACGCTCTTGTTGGGAGAGAATTCATCAGCAATTATCAAATAAAATATGGGTAAACTATTTTGGACCTTTCTTGGGCCAAGCGGAGGCTGACGGAGTGGCCCCCAATGAGCTGTTTCAGTAACGCGGAGCCCACTCGGCACGGTGGGGTGGGGGGGTACTTTTATAATTTGCGGTAGGCAGCGTGGGATGTTCTAAATTACACCAGTCATTACACTGATTAGAGCCCATGTACCCTCCTGCTGCTGCTGCTGCTCTATTATGGCAGGGGGATGGATGGATGGAACACTTGGGCAAGCTCCGTGTCCTGCATTACACGAATAAACAATTACAGTGGATTGCCGCGTGGAATTATCGCTCCCACGGTGTCGTATACATTGCAAACGGCTTTTGTTGAAAATGTCTTGAGATCTCTTTTGTTTGATTAATGCTATCTCCCCCTCCCTTTCCCAAACAAGCCCTCGTCGGGATGGAAAGCTCGGCGCTTTCATGACAATGATTCGCCGAAGGCAGCTAAGAGTGAATGTCGTGTGCGAGCCTTTCCTCTTCCCTTTCCCAAAGAAATCGGAGCCTGTGTCAACACCGTAAAATATTCTCACCGGCAGAGCACCTAATAGCTTTTAACACCCGCTATTGTACCGTCAGGCAGAGTACCATCCAATTTAAACATACGTGTGGGTACATCTGGTTCTGCTAATATTAGTTAAGTGAGGAAAACGAGGCTTAGACCCAGGAGGCCAAATACGTTGTAAATAGACGTAGCCAAGCTTGTGGACGAGCGAGAGGGGGAGAGAGAGAGAGAGACGCGACGGAGAATGTCGTTGCCGTCAAGCAACGCCACCCCGCTCGCACGTTTGGGGGGGAATTCAATGGCAGGGTCCCTACAACAACGAGAGAGCAAGGGCCTTCATTATTCCACGGCGTGTGTGGGCTTCTGAGAGCTATCGTGGAGCACGCTCGTATGAGTTATCGATTTTATATTATCTCGTATTTGGGCAGGTGACTGGAGCGAAGATTACAGGCATCGAAGCAGGAAATAGAGATACGCTCGAAATTAATGCCCGTATTACTTCTGCTGTTGTTCTCAAACGCAATTGTGACTTGTCAATAGAAAAAAAATCTAAAAGTTTTGTGTAATTGATACAAAAAACTGTAGTTCCTTATTAAAAAAAATGGTTTGCAGTGTTTCTCAGCACTAAAACGTATTGCAAATATTTCCAGTGTGGTCATGCGCCAGCTTGATGCTTGTCAACTCCCATGTTCGGCTGTGGCGGTTTAATTTACAACACTGGAGTGTTCTGGCCACTTCCGCTATCACGGTTCCATTCAGGTTGAGAGTGCATGGCTTGGCTTTTAAGCCTTTTACGATTTCACCCAAACTACAGCAAGGTTCCACCGTAGTCCAGGTGCCTGATGTCCCCAAAGCTGGGTACAGGCCCTGGCTGTTTATTTATTAATTTGTTCATTAAAATATTGGGCTATGGTTAATCTCGGGTTTCGATTGACACACACTTTTCAAACGTAATGACCCACATGCAAATATTTTACATCTGTAACTTGTACAAGTATGCATTTATAAAAAGAATATCGCACTCAGCCAAATATATATAGCAGTGGTGCACACCACCACTTGATGTTGAATATACTCTAGTTGCTGTGCCAGTGCATTAATTAAAGGTGTCAATAAGGTGAGACTGGTGGCATCATATCTTAGCGTGTCGATCAGAGCGTTCCATGTTGAAGCAGCTTCGCGTCTGACAGTTTCGGCCGTTTGGATTGGTACTTTTTAAAAAGGCCCTGGTAGTGCCCGTACGCCCGCTGCGTGCCTCCTGTGCGTCAACTCGAACCTCTTGCTGCGGCAGAGGCTCCGATGTTTGGGAAAGGCTCAAGGAATGGCTCGCGAGTGGAGGAGCATGCAGGACCCAGCTACACCCTGGCACGCGGGCGTGTCTCATGCACGCGGTCTCCAAGCCTTACACTTGCATGCAATAAAGCCTGGACATTTGTTTATTATTTTCACGTTGATTAATGATCGTTATTGGAAATAAATCTAATTGTTAATGGTTAAAAATCACATTCTGTAATGCACTGTCCCAATGGGCCACTTCCTATAATTAAGAAATATTTTTTAAGATGTGAATAATTGCTCTCGATACTTCAAGGAAAGCGCATTTTAATAAAATGTAGAGAAAAGAGCGTTATCGTCAATGCAATTGTATCGCATGTATAAACACAAAATCGATGTTTATTTTCCACTTGCCGAAATAATATTTTTACGACCAAATAAATTATTTTGACGTTTACGTAAAAATCTCTAAATGGACCACACTGCCGTTCATTCTCGTAATTTGTACCCTCCGCGTGTAAACATCTGTTCCATGGAAGGGAATCGAGACCCTTTGCCGTAGCGGCCGTGTGTATGGCTCCCCGAGTGAACATGGGCGTAGCCGCCCATCGTCACCGCGGGTCGATAGGTCACCGCGCCGCGGGCTTGGTCCCTGGGCCCTGCACGCTGCTAATGGCGTGGTTGTGGTGGCGTCGCTCCCTCTTGCCTCCCCCCTCCCTCCCGCCCGCCCGCCCCACCCCCTCCCGTCGCCGATTGTTAATTCAGGTTGAATTGCGTCACCACCAGATGGCAGATCCAGAGCTGTTGGAGGAGTCGGCCACTCTCCTGGATCCCAGCGAGATCGGCCGCGGTGCGCCACTGCGCCTTGGGTGAGGCCCCCATGCGCGTGTCTCCGTGGTCGCCCTCTCCGGCTCTTTGGCCCCGAGCCCTCGTCGCGCAGAGGAGGTTTCCGTAACGGTGCCTTGACGCGGAATCTCAGCCCAACGAACCGTGCGTTGAATTTACCCCTCTTCCGCTGGCACGTTCCTACCGCGCCAACGCGGTGCCGTCACGACACGGGTGATTTTTCACTGGCTATTTGCCAAACCGAGCCAGGACCAAACGATTAAATTGGCCTCACAAGACATTGAATCTGGCTCGTGGCCAAGAAGGGCGAGGTTAATTAGCACGATTGGATACGTGCGGTGTGAAAGAAGTTCTACACACACACACAGATGCCACCCACTTCTCGTAATATTCCGCTGGGACCATGTGATTGATTGTTATGTGAGCAGCGACATTGTGCGGCGTGGGTTGATGACCGTGCTGACCCACGGTGGGGGGGGGGCGGGGGAGGCGGGTGCCTGGACCGGTGCTGCACCGGGTAGGCCTCGTGTGGCTCAACGTAGTGAAGCAGCGAGACGTTCTGGTATGCACGGTGGGGGGGGGATGTGGGGGGATGTGGCCAACCTGCCAGGTAGTCACAACCAGGGGTACCGATAGCTAGGCAGATGCTTTTTTGCGTTACATTAAATAACGGTTGATGCATATAAAGCATGATTTACGGTTTATGATTTATCGGAAGGTGTTGTAATCGAGCTGGCATCCAGCGTGCTAACCACAGCACCGCGGTGGCTCCCTTTGTTGTACGTCGGAGTGTTGAGAGGTTGGAGGAGGTGGTGTTGGAAGCTTGCGGTTTTTCCCTCTTCAGGATGAAAGAAAATCCGGCAATGTGTCCGGTGCCGCCATGTTGCCGATCCCCCGTGAACAATGGCGTTCTGGCGCGCGGCTAAACAGCGACGACGCTCTCCCTACGTGCGGCATTCCCAACCGCCGTTTTGCGGAGATGCAAATCCCTGCACGAGTTTATCTTCAAAGGAGTTATTTAGCATTATAGCAATTGGGAATTTGATAACATTGCGCTTAACTCACCGCACGGCAGCCCAGCCGTCCGATTTGCATACCGCTGTGGGCCCTGCATAAGGGAAATGCCCCCCATCTCTTCCCCTACACATCACTGAATGATCAATTGGAATCCCGATATGTTCTGTAAAAAAACGTGCGGCCATTTGGCAATTGATCGCTTATCATCGCTGCCATCTTTGCTCACATTTAGCCTCTCCTGGGTTGCGTTCGCCTTGGCGTTAAGTTCGCAAATTCGCGTCGTGTTTCACACTCGGCAGGTGCCTTGCCCCGATGTGTCTCGTGAATTATCGTTGGTGCACGACTGTGTTTTGACAATGCGGAGTCCCACCGAGCGTGTGAGATGTATTTATAATTCCGTTGCGGCGTACCTGCTGGCAGCGAGCTCTGCAGCTTTCTCACGGACACGTTACTCACCACCACTTTCATATCACCCGTGACCATGTTGCATTTGCTCCTCTCATTACACGTCGGAGCAGCTTTATTCCGCTAACATTCCACATAGTTGCCATTTCCACTCCGCAATCTGGCCGAGTGTTTCAGCAGTAGAGTGGGTGGCTTGCAGTGGGAAAGTCACGAGTTCAAACCCTGGTTGGTGGTTGAATCGGCCCGTCATCCCTCCAGGGTGGATAAAATAATCCACTTTGTGGATGAGTCAATAGTGGTTATCCTATGGATAGACTGTCCACCACCATATGATTGTAATTTCCACCACCGTTTTGGCGGTAAACATGCCATGCTCATTTGAGCAGGAAATCACTTTTTGACAATCTGCACACATTCCGTAATAACCGTAGAGGCAGGGGTCGCTGTTAATCCTGTGCTGGCACAATGGGCCGTTACGAGGAGAGGCTTGATTTACTGAATAATCCTTACGAGTAATGGAACCATGCTTAGTTAGCGCCGACAACTTTTACGTACCATACTGGGCAACATGCAGCTACGTGATGCGCTGGGAATAATCTGTGGAGCGGTCTATTGTTACAATTTAGTGATGCGCATCGCTGCCGCAGACCGGTCCCCATTTAGCCGCCGCCGCCGCCGCCGCTCCTGTTGCGTGTCGTTAATAGGCGCGATGTGTTGTAAGAAGCAACGTTAATTTTAGCGATGTCCGTTGTGGGCGCATGAATATATAACTGTGTGTGTGGTGGAGGGATGCGACACATTTATACTTACGCGATCTAACCCAAAAACCTTTATTAATAATGCCGGTCGCGAAAGCGTACGTGTTAAACTGTGTGTGTGTTGTACATCAACACGTTGCCTCCTCTTCGCGCAGACCCGGGCAGCGGGATTGTCCCCGCGGTCCGCTGTTCCAACACGTGGTGGCCCAGGCCGGGGGGCCCGCGTTGGGCCCTCGCGGCGTGCCTAACGCCGGCCCAGGCCGTGTGTCCGCGCGGGCACGCCGGTGCTTGTCAGGCAGTCCCCTTTACTTGGCCCGTGGGGACGCCATGAAGCAACTGCGGCTCTCTTGCAAGGGTGACCCTGGGTTACAATGGAACGGATTTGAGTGCACAGTATTTTTAAAACATTTAAATGTAACAAATGTAAGCTGACTTCAACAGCAAATATGTGTATAAGGCCAAATAAAAAGGTGATTTGCACTTAAAAAAATATCAATATGCAATGAATTGATATTTATTAATGGGAAGGCAAGCAACTAGATTAAGCAAATAGAGGTCATGGAAAAATTGGAATTCACCCTGCTGCTGCACGCCCTTGCAAATGAGACGTTGCACCTCAAGGGTTTTTGCAGGTGAAATATTTAAATGCGAGCAAAACAAAAAAGCGTAAAATACGACGAACCGTAAATAACTGCGCAACATTAAGACGAGCACGGCCGACGAAAACGTTTCCACGGCTGTCTTGGAGTGCAAAAACACCGGTGTCGTCGTTGCCTGGCTGTGCTGCTGCGCCTGCTTGCGTAGGTTCGTAGCAGGTGTGATCAACCGGGAGCGCATCCCCACCTTCGAGAGGATGCTGTGGCGCGTGTGCCGTGGAAACGTGTTCCTGCGTCAGACCGACATCGACAGTCCCCTGGAGGACCCCTCCACGGTGCCCACGCCGCTCGCGGCCCCTTACCCCCTCCCCCCCCTCACCTTCACCGCCGTGCCGACACCGCGGCCGCTGTTTGAGAATTCTCACCGTCCCCGCGGTTGGCGCGTGAAGCCCTGTGTTCGGTGCGACGAAGCGGCAGCCGCGTCCGCGTTGGAAGGAAGCCGCTCATTTTGCGTTGCGCTTTGCGCTGCCACGTTTGTTTTTAACAAAGACCTCTTAATGGCAGCTCATTGTTTCGCGTGATAATTCTGACAGTTATTTAAAATGTTATTTCTTTAAAGGGTCATATTTGTGACATTTCGTGCAGAGCTTTGTATTGTAATCATAATCATTACCCATGATTGCAGTCATCGCGAATCATTATCATCACCGTGCTGTTTAATCACAACCTCGTCGTTACCCATGGACTGTGTGAATTCACACACGAGCCCCGATCACTTTCGAGAAGTTATTGCCAAGGTCGTTACAAAAAAAGGTTGTGCAAGCAAGACCTTGATGCATCATCCTTCCTGGCATTCCAGGGAGTTGATCAACTGAACAAGCTTGTGCTCTCCAATGTATTACATTAAGTGCCATCTAGTTGAATTCATTACGAAAGCCATCACCTTATGTCGTCCTGACATTTCACCGCATGCAATTTCATGCATACAGGAGCGGTCCTCGAAAGATCTTTTCCGCTCGCTCCCTTCCCCCCGTTTCTCGGCCAGTCCTCTTGCATCGCTATTGATCTATTGAATTAGACACCGGTATTGCCACGCTTCAACTTGAGCCCGGTGAACAAAGTGGCAACGATAACGATTTGCAAAAAATATTGCACATGTTTGGCATAAGCACTGCATCGCAAAAATAAGTTAAAACGCGTCGTAGAATTTGGTCGGCTGCTCACAGCACCTTTGCATTGATTTATTCCTGTGCATTTGTAGCGACGGCATAAATATACGGCCATTGGGAAAACACAACGCATTTATATATTCAGAAGTTGCGTGGGCTGCCGTGAAAGAGCTATTGTCCAAACATGAGTATCGCGTTTGTTTCGCCGCTTGTACGGTACCGTTTAGTGATAACGACGGCAATTTCAGTAAATCGCGGCGCTTTGTTTCCTCCACCGAGGCATGCAGCCGCGCGCTCAGATAAAATTGTGCTGATGCCGCGGCGCTTCCTAAATCGTGCCGCGCGCTCTTTCCACCAGGGAGACCAGGTTCACAAGTCCGTCTTCATCATCTTTTTCCAAGGTGACCAGTTAAAGCACCGCGTCAAGAAGATCTGCGAAGGGTGAGCCCCCGCTCGCGCGTAGACGACCGCAGGCAAGGTCGTGGCCTCTGGGGACGAACCAACGCTGACATTTGCACGCGGCGCCAAATCCCGCTGGGGGTGGAGCGGCGGCGGTGCAGTGGCTAGAGCTTGTGCCACCTGAGTTTAATTCCCCGCCACGGCTAACATCGGTGACCGCTAAGTCCGAGCCACCCCTGCCCCACCGCCCCCCTTCACCAGCCCGCACCAACCGGCGTGGTGGTGAAGTATGGCCAAATTGGCACCCGTGACCCGTACGGTGTGGGGAGGCCCGCACACCGCAGGGGATTGACGAGAGCCTCTTCCTTATGGTTACTTTCATTTTATAGGGCAGCATGCGTCCACCTGGGCTGTGTGGCGCTCTCTTTAGAGTACTCGACTCGTTATTGGAGGTTTACGAGTTTAAATCCTCGTCTTGGGTTGACTCGGCCAGTAATCGTTCCGAGGGTCAATAAAATGAGATCCTTATTTGTGGGAAGTCGACATTGATCGCCCCTTGGATGGACCGGTTCTCCCCATGGGGTTGTGTAATATCCACCGCGGATTTGAATAATACTCGTAACGTATCTACACAATCGCACGCCTTGCCACGAGAAATTTGACACTCGTGCAATCGTTTAATTTCGCGTGCAACCGTTGAAGGTGAGCGCAGGCTGGCGAAAAAATCCATGCCTTTACCTGGAATTCAGCAGTCTCAAATAATGCTGATGACGTGCGTTGCGCTAAGAGCCAACGTTGCAGCATTGGAAGGGCACAGCCCGCGATCCTTCAGCAGCATTGTTACTCGTTTTGACAGAATTTATACCCAATGCAGTGAAGCGTTTCCACAATATAATGTCGCCCTTCGCTTCCAAACGCACGCTTGGGCCACTCTCATTCGTCGGTGGAATCAACTCGGCGTAACGCCGGAATACGTCTGTGGTCAACAGACACGTTCGCGTGCGTGCATGCGGCGCACAATCCATTAGCAACGCGGTACAGAATTCATGTAAACCTTCCCCCCCCCGCTACTGCCGCGCCACCGTCGCCCCACAAAACATTCGAGCCGCCGGCCGCTGCTGCTCGCTTAGCTTCCCACAATCCAGCGGTAGGGCAGGGAACCCCCCCACCCTGCCCAGCCCCACCCCACCCAGCCCAGCCCCACCCCGCCCCCCCCCTGCCCCACCCCGCCCTGCCCAGCCCTGCCCAGTGTAGAATGCCCGCCGGCTGGGTAAGAGGCCTGCGTTGTGTTGTTTGCAGATTCCGTGCGACGCTATACCCATGCCCAGAGACGCCTCTGGAGAGGAAGGAAATGGAGGCGGGAGTCAATAACCGTATCGATGACCTACAGACGGTACTAAGCTCTGCCACTTTAAATCCATACTCGCACCTCGTGTAGACAACTCGCGTTGTGAGTGCGCGGCTCGTGTGGCTGTAAACCTCTGATGTGGGTGCGCGTTGTGTTGGTGACTTGGGATTGAACTCGTGGAACTTTGGTTCGTTCCAAAAAAAAATGCTGTGTGTGGCACGATAATTAAATCATGACACAGCCTATTATTAGGTTAAGCATCTGTGCAGCAATCTGCTAAGTGTCCTTGACGTCTGTTTTTTGCATCTTTAGTGGGAATTAAAGTGGAAAATTACCATTCACATCGGGGGTTTTAAGTGGCAAAGGAAGCTGTGATTCATGGCAAGACTTGGATCCTTCTACAGTCGGTTGCGCTTCACAGCAAGACCACCCATCCTGGTCGCGGCACTCAGGCGCGTGGACGTAGTTGTGAGCACACGTTGGCAAGACTTCACAGCTTGCGTTACACGGGGAGCCGTGTCAAACAGAGAGGGCCCTTGCCTATAAACATCTGGCAGTTCACCGGCTTTGATTGAAACAAATCCTGCCTCTGCAGTCAAGACGATGAATGTTGAAAACGGTCCACAGTTTTGTTTGTGTTGAACCGATGCCGCTGAAAACAAAGCAACACTCCCAAAAAGGTCACGTGGCGGCTGATGGGATGTGTAAAGCAAGGTACTTGGATTTTTCATGTGGATGGATGTGCGAAGGATTAGTTGCACAGACGCATGTAGAGACAAGTGGGGAGGAGGATAAACTTGTGCAAGCATTGCATAAATATGAAGGATGATGGTGTGTGAGATTAATGGAGAGTGAAAAGTGAAGTGATTTGAATTCAGAGAAGACTTGTGAGGAGTCGCTCGTATATCTTCTGCACAGGCAGCTGGACAAAACCCCCTTGGGTTTGCAATGACTTTACATTTCTCACGTTTCATTGCCAAATTAATGTTGGATTAACCCCAAACTGAACTCAAAATAATCAGTGAGGATTATAATTAACAATATAGATATGCAGCCAAAATGTCTGCTTCGTAATTGCTTAATCGTATTTGGTGTTACTGCATTGGCAGTGGTGCACAATACACAAAAACACTGCAGCGACGTTCCGGGCCACGGCCCTACTTCACAGCACACAGAGGTTGAGTGCTTTCTCAGCACGTTTACAAATCCTATCATCGGCATTGATTTGGTGCACGCAAAACTCTGGACTGTTCTCAGCACACCGTGTCTCATCAGCAGTCAGGCTTTCTTGAATCATGTCGGTGAACTGCCTGTTTGTATACGCAAGGACCCTCTCTATAAGATATGTCCTCTATTCTACAACAGACGATAGAATACATAGCAGAATGTACTCATTACCAACGTTGCAGAGAAAATAACAATCGCGTGAATAATGTACGTCATCGCATTCGTGTTTCTGTCCGCAGTTTGTAAAATTGTTAAAATGACGGCGAGAAAATAAATAAATAGCTTTAAACTCGACCTATAGGCCTCGCTGGACCCAGGTGTCTCTCTGCCTCTTCAGGTGCTCAACCAGACGGACGACCACCGTCAGCGCGTGCTGGCCTCGGCCGCACAGAACATCCGCATCTGGTCCATCAGGGTGCGCAAGATGAAGGCCATCTACCACACCCTCAACCTGTGTAACATTGACGTCACGCAGAAGTGCCTCATCGCCGAGGTGTGGTGTCCCGTCGGAGACCTGGACTCCATCCAGTTCGCCCTGCGGAGGGGGACGGTACGTCCGGCTCGGCCCGCGCGCCCGTGCCCCCCCCCCCCCCACGCTGCGGCTCGCTCTGCATGCTCACCAAGAGGCCATGTTGGTATTCACCGGGGTGGTGATGGACTCCGGCAGCCAGAAGGTCGCGAGTTCAAATCGTGCTTTGGAGGTTGATAAAATAAGTCTCCACAGTGCTTGTACTGTGGACAGGCTCGCCTCTATCATGGGAATGAGGAATTTTCACCGCTGGCTCAGGGCTGTAAATGGGAGATGAGCACCGAGGCATCATTTGAGGACCGGGAAATTCAGGGGGGTTGGCCGCGACCACGTCAGCTCAACCCGGCACTTTGAATTCTCGAGTTGAGACCGGAATGACTGACGGGCGACTTCCATTACGTCGGCAGTCGCGCGGTGACGGTGATGAAAACAAACGTGTCGGTATAATTCACACGTGGCGGGCCTTCGCGACCAATATTACGAGTCATAATTGATTTTTGAAATTGATCGCGTGAGCAAAATGCGTGTCGGCGATTGTGACAACTGCCTGTTGATGCTGGCTGCCACTAAGCGCACAACGCCCACTCCAAATTGTTGAATGCTGTGTGAGACTGCTCTCCAGGACCGCTGGTGCTGCTGCTCAAGCTGGTGCAATACATTGGCACGTTTGTTCATCACGTGACAACTTGATAATTTGGCCATGTCGCGTGGAGGAGGGTGCGCGGCACGCTTTGTACTCGCGCCATCTGACCCTACAACTAACCATGGATGTGTCGGTTAAGCAAGGGTAGTTTAAGGATTTGAAAAATATTGTAAGTGGCCGTCGATGAATGTGTATATCCAGCAAGTAATCGCAACCAACCAATAATTGCATTCCATGTGTTGTGGTCTCTGCTTGCCAGGCCGGGTCACAGCCCACTTGCCCAAGCAGCCTCGTGTTTTGTGAGGGGGATAATTTTTCCCCGTTTTATTGCCGTGTTGCCCATCCGTGTTGCCCATCCTTGTGCTGCACTTTGATTGCGAGATGTAGAATGACGAGCATCTTACAGTAAAATCGATAGGAACGTGATGTGTGTGACATTGACCTGGCATGTTTGCGATTTGGTCGTTTTTGTTACGCTAATTACTCCGCAGGCCAGCCGTGTCAGATCATACAGAGCTGAGTTGATAGAACTTGTCTGCTCCCGTCTCATTGTCCACCTGGGTACGGTTGGTGTCGACCAGTGTGGAGTGATCGTGCCATTTAGTGGGCAGACTCATTAGCTTAGCAGTTGCTTAGAATAGTGCGTCGTGCCCTCTGTTTATGCACCTACCACGCTCACCCATGGTGACGAGATGTTAACTACCTCGCCTGGTGTACAGGAGGTCGTGGGTTCAAGCCGCTGGACCCTGACATATTTGGAGTTTGCGTGTCTCTCTCCCCGTGGTCGTGTGGATTTTCTTCAGGTCCCCGGTGTTTTCCCTCCACATTTAGAATCACACATTTAGAGTATTTGGCTGCTATAAATTTCCACATGATTAGCCACTTCGTTGAGCTACCATTTGTGGCCAGGTCGCTTCTGAAAAAGAGCTACATAGCTCAGTGGGCCTTACGTTGTAAAAATAAATAGATTTGTGTTCTAGTTTCGACTCCTACAGCAGGGATGAGGATTCATGTGTCGGGCTTTACGATGAACAAGCCAGCTTCAGGGTGACTTTTGCCACCTCTGAGCGCGAGCTGCTTTGCTGCTGCTATTATTTGATTCTTCACAATCTTTTTTTTCCAGGAGCAAAGTGGATCGACTGTTCCATCCATTTTAAACCGGATGCAAACCAAACAGACGCCTCCCACCTTCAACCGCACGAACAAGTTCACGGCCGGATTTCAGAACATCGTTGACGCGTACGGCGTGGGGAACTACCGCGAGATCAACCCAGGTGCGTGGCGACGACGACACTCGTTTTGTGTTTGAGAGTCACCCTCCTACACGCCGAGATGCCTCGGAGCGCTTCACATCGTACCTCGTGTCAACGCATTTGAAAGGGCACCCCCGGTGGCAGCTGTCCCTGTGGGCAAAAGGTGACTCTGCTCCCGGCCTGCAATGGGGCATGAGTCTTCCGGTAGTGGGGGGGGCGGTGATCACCGCGCGTAATATCAGGATGGTCATTTTGCGGGGGGAATTTTCGAGTTTGCCAAAATTACCCGACAAGGTCAACCGCCACTTGTGTGCGCACAGCCGGCCTCTTCGCGCCTCGCAGCGAACCCTCACGTGAATTTAATTGATTGGCAGGTAGTTTGAAGTTCACGTTTGTTTTCTGTATCGTGGTGAGAATTCGAGAGGCCACGAGAGCACCATTTCCCACAGTGAGCTGGGTCCCCTGTGCGACAAAAGCAAAAAACATGAAATAGAGCGTACGGCAGCAAAGCCAAAGGGACAGCAGAGGCAACCAGATATAAATCGGTGACAACAAACGCGTTACAGACTACGTAGGAAATACTGCTTCCACATAAACAAATATTCATTACATCAAATTATACATACACGAAGTTTAATTGCATCAAATTATACATACGCGAATATTAATTGCATCAAATTAACCAGTACCGACGGTTTGCTCCGACCAATTTATATATAAACATAATTGTGCAGATTCCCACGAGAGCCAAAAAAAAGGTTGCCATCTCCGGTAACGCGAAGCTTGCCTGGTGGTGCAGCGGTGAGTGCGCCGCGCTCCATACCCCGGTGATCCGAGTTTGATTCCTGGCCAGAGTCACGCACGACCGGCGAGTGATCTCTAAACTGGTCGGAACTGGTCCCGGGTCCCTCTCTGACCTGCCGCAGTGATCACATCGGTGAAGTATGGTCAGAACGTCTCCCGTGCCCAACACGGCGTGGGGAGGTCCTCGTCTTCAGAAGTGGGGCTTGGCAGAGGTTCACAGAGCGCCGTGTTCGAACCACCGCACCATGGCTGCATCCACAGCTGTGCATGCAGCGCTCTCGCCGTGCAAAAGGGCACGGGTCTACTTTACTCTGCGGCTGTCTGTGTTTATTCAAGGTAGCGAGTGAAGGTGTTAATTAAATGTGTTTGGCAATGTAAAATAAAGTAATCATTATAAAGGGGACACGATCTAGTAATGTATTTTTAAACGCTGTATTTGGTGCCTGGTGCATAATATTCGTGCAGTCAAACGCCCCAATGTTTTTATATACATATATAAACAAGTCTTTTGTTTGTGTTCATCAATAATGCATTTCATTTGAGTTTATTCACCAACCATAATTGTCCAAGACTGCCAGTGATAAAGCTTGCCGAGTAAAGCTTGCTTTTTGGCAACGAAGCATTATGAATCGACGATTAATTCCCTTTCAAGTCAGAAAACGCGTAAGTTTTAAATCGTATTAGAATGTTTCCATGTTTGTCTTTGCAATGTGTGCATGTGTCGCTGTGGTGCCTTGCAGGCTGCAGCGCGTAGCCCGAAGCACGTAGCGAGTGTAGCGCGCAAAGCACGAGAGACGGCACGCACTCTTGCGTCCGTGACACGTGGCCATCGGCTCGTTGCAGCCATGGATCAGCGATGCCCTCCGGCGCCGTAATGTGTTTTGGTTTTGCGGGGACGTGTTTTTGTACAAAAGTCAGGACTTAAAGAAGCTTACCGGAGTGCTTTTAGAGCTGCATCGTGAGCGATGCTAATCACCGTAACAGCCTTCGCGTGCGCGCTTTGAGTGCGTGTTTAATTTTTGCAAATGTGTTCAGAATTTTTCTTCAATTTTTTTATATCTGAACAACAACAAGAACAGCTTGTAACTGAGTGTAGGAGCTTTACCGACTTGCAGGTTTCAATGAGCAATAACCACCTCATAGATATCATCAGCCATCATCTATCCACTGCCGGATGAAGGCTTCCCCCAAGCCCCACCGCTCGCGGTCTCGCGATGCGACGCTCCATCTCACTCCTGCGCACGGTGTATCTCACCGCTCCATCTCCGCGGTGCTGGTGGTGGATGACCTCGCTGGCACGTCCCCTCCTGTGACCGCCGCTCCGCTATTTGTCTCGGCCACCGGCCAGCATCCCTCTCGGGACTCCTCCTGCCCACTTGGTTTTAGCCGTCAATAAGATGTGCGTCTTGTTTTGCGTGTGCACTCCGATCCACGTGTTCCCCATTCTGTCTCTCGCTAATTACAATCACCCACTTCCCCTTGCTTTTTCCTGCACTTTTCAGATTTTTTTATAGTCTTTGTCATATGACGCGTAATTTGCAGGTAACGTTTAGGACTCAACACGTTCTTGTTTAATAAAATTGGTTTGTTGCTTTCATTATAATCATAACTTAATCAAGCTATAGATAATGCATTATTCCATACTCTACTTGCTTGCGTGTATTTAGTAGTTTGAACAACTGGATGCAATTGAGACAATTCAACGCAGACATCTTGATTAAAATCAGACAGAGTCGAAATAAAAGTGAGGCCTCGATCTCTCCGACGTCTTTGAGGAAGGACACGGAGCACATGGAGACGGTGCGTGTGGTCAACTGTAGAGAAAGCGTTCCTGATCCCAGGGTTGCTCACGTGGGGTCGGTCGGCCTCCACATCGTTCATCGTTCTCTTCCCAGTCATTCGTCAAGGCAATTGTCTCGCCCATTGTGGATCTCATCTCGAGGCTTCTCCCCTCGAGGCCTCTCCCCTCCTTTGTCGAATTTCAAATCAATTTAAGGAATAATTGTTTTGCCTGGCCGGCGTTGCTCCTCTTGATGCGGTGGCGGCGTATTTAGGCCGGTGAGAGAGCTCAACGTCGCGGCTGTCGGATGATGTTCAGACTCAAGTCGTTATCGCTCGGGGTGCGTTGCTGCCAATATTCATCAAATGAATGTTGCACTCTGCTGTGGATGTTCACGTGATAATCAATGTGTTTTACGGAATGTGTGGTGCGAGCTTCGATGTCACTGTGCCTTGTAGAAGGTTGTTATCCTGCCAGTAGTTATGATACAAATGTTATGGAAACTGGGGCAAATGAAAGTACAGATTTGTCCTTGGAATTACAATTCGTGTGTAAGGGACCGTGTTTGTTGTGTGTGTGAAGTGTCCGCGCAGGTGTGTATATATGTGTATATGGGATTATATATATGTATAACACAGGCATGTGCAAATTAAAATTTGAAGCTTTAGATTTTGATCCATTTCACGCTAGGCAAGTGTTGCGTTACCCCTTAATTTCTCAAGAGCCGGTTACACTATGTACTTTTTAATGCAACAAGAGAATGGCCTTCTAATCTGAATCTCGCTGGGATGTTGCGGCCTTCAACTGGTTACCCTTGCGGTGTAAGGCCCTCGCGTGTTTGCTCGGCTTTCCCCGATCGTTGGGCGGAGAGTGCCGCACGGTGTAAAGAACACACGCGCGCACATCGCTCTCAACGTCCGCGGCTCCTGTGCCAGACCAAAGCCCGGTCTTCGTTTAGAAGACATGTTCTTGCTGCGCAAGCACTCGGAATGTCTAACGTACAGTAGGGATGTGTAATGTACGGCGCGTGTGCTGGGTCCTCGTGTCCACATGCTGCACCACAATGCGTTTCTGCGCACAACAATGTATTGTTGCTGGTTTTGTCTATGTTTGTGCATTGGTTGTTCTCATTTACAATTGTAAGTTACAGGATATGTCATTTATTGATGTTTGGAGTTGTATTGTAAACTGGGTGTGGTTCAGTTTTCCTACGTTTTTAATATTTGCTGATGCGCTACTGCGCATTCTTTCCACATCTGACATGGGCTGTCTGTACAGTAATATATTTGTCCAGCCGACGGGTGGGCTCAAGGCAGGTTGCAGAGATTCTCCTTTCGATCCAGCAAAGCCACCAGTGAAGAAACCAGCGTCACAATTCTAGAGTCTCAACCGGTGTCGGCCCGCTCACCGACTCCTGCTCAAACATCCCACGTTATTAATTTAGACATGTCATGGAATTTGGCAAAATTCCACCCCTAATAATTATTCTCTTTTTGTAGGCAACGAACATTTACCCGTTGCACGGCATTTGGTAAAAAGCATAGCCCCCACGTCGTGTAGGTAGAGTTGAAGGCATCTCAGAAGCAGTTCTGTGATATCCCCATCTGCGGCTCGTTCTCTAACACAACGTGATACATTGCCACGTGAGAGTTTTGAATAATAGACTGCCTCGCGACACAATGCATGTGGAATAAAACTGGGGACGTTGGTTCGGGTTTCCAGCCATATTGAATCTGTTGAGAATATTCTCCTCTGGAAAGGCTCTGCATTGAACATCTATGTTTGCCCGCTGATGAGACACCGAATGGCGACACCGGTCCAGAGTTTGCTTGCGTTGCACCAATGCCGCTCTGCTAGGAAGAAGGCTTCGTGGCCGATGGGACGTGGATGTGAAGGAGGCGTTTTGTCCGCTTGGTAACATTGCGACTGATATTGCGCACGACGCCGCCCGTTGACCTTTTGGTGTTGTGTGTCCTCAGCCCCGTACACCATCATCACCTTCCCCTTCCTGTTCGCCGTCATGTTCGGCGACTGGGGCCACGGGACGCTCATGACGGCGTTTGCTCTGTGGATGGTGATTCGCGAGAGCCGCCTCATGGCGCAGCGCATCGAGAGCGAGGTGACTGCTTGTCGGCACACCACCACCCCCCCCGCACTGCGCGTGCCGGTCATTGCTCTCTTGGCCGTTTCGCTTCTGGGCGAGACGTCGGTTACGTGTCTGGCGCACCGCTAATGGACGTCGTCGTTGTGTTCGGTTTCTGTGACCCGTGCGCGACTCTCCGCTTCCCCGCAGTGTTTACGACGCGGTGTCTCGCCGCCCGTCGATGTGCGTGGCTGTTGAACGGACGCATTTGTGTTGCCAACATTAAAGCGCCGCCCTTTTCGGATGTCGTCAGAGAGGGCACGGAAAGGGGGCGGCTGTGAAAGCGGCAGGTTTCTCCCCGGGAATCTTAGAATGCATGTGCTCTGGAGCAGGGGATGTTGTCCAAAACGTTGCCTTTTATTTATTTTTACCCATTTTATTATTATGATTATTTGTTGAAGGCTGTGCATCCCAACGAGATTCACATTAGAATGCGGTGTTTTCTCCTCGCATTAAAAAGTACACAATGTAACGGGGTCTTGAAAGATTAAGGGGTAAATCGACACATGGCCGGTACGGCACGGATCCTAATCTATTGCTTCTAGTCCCGGCGACGTTTCCCCATCAACTAACTTGTGGTGGAATTGTTTTAGTTTGGCAAATTTTTACCGTTTTAGGCCAGCACACAGTGTCCTTAAGTGCTGTTTGTCTTAGAGGACCACACTGTGTCGTTATTTACGAATGTGTTAACTTTTTCCCGTTTTTTTTCTGCCTGTCCACCACCGCCAGCGTGTGGCGGCCGCAGCGTCACCAAAACGTCTGTCCATAGTTTCCGATGCGGAGGTCATCCCGTCACCTTATCTGTGCTCCCCGCCTCCTCGGCAGATCTGGAACACCTTCTTCGCTGGGCGCTACATCATCCTGCTCATGGGGCTCTTCTCCATCTACACGGGCCTCATCTACAACGACTGCTTCTCCAAGTCGCTGGACCTGTTCGGATCCTCCTGGAGTCCCCGTGCCATGTTCGCCTCCAAGAACTGGACGTGCGTGCTTCCCTCTTCGCTCGGGGCAGACTTTCACATCGCTGTCCGGAGATGGCAGCTCACAGTCTTGTGACCTTTCGTTATTCGTGGCGGTGACGAAGCCCAGTTGTGACGCGTTCGCCGCACGTTGCGGACGTCGGTGGTTCGAAACCGGCGGGCCGCCCTGATTAATACTGCGGCCTGGTAATAGACGTAAAATTACTACTCGCCGTCTGCTCCTACAGTGGACTTCAGAGATCACGTGACGCAGTTCGGAGAGAGTTTGCCATTGCGTGCGGGCGTCATGGTCCACATTGTCGAACTTCGATAATTGCCTGGAAATTACTCGATTTGGATCGCACGTGGCAACGTTGCTACCCACTGCGAAACTACTGATCACTGCGTCTGTGAAAGACAGCACGTTTGTGCTAGACTTGCGCTGTCAGAATGGCGCGAGCGCCACATGTACTGAACAACGGAAGTACCGGTCGCTAGGCGACGCCCATCCCACTTGCGCTGTGTGACGTAAGGGAGGAAGGAGCCAATCACGACCAGCCAATCAGAACACGGGTGATTGTTTTGGAAAATACAATTCTTATGAATCTTTTTAGTTAAATAAATATTCTGATCCCCATCGTCCTATTGGCTGAAATTGTAACCGTATATTAGATAGGTGTTATATAAAAATCACTGTCTATTAAACAATGCATTCCCAGAGTCTGACAGAGTAGATTTCCAATCAAGTGCTTTCTTTTGTAAAATGGGAACTTTGCTTTGTGAAGTTTGGTATTAAGCGTGACGGGCAGTGTTCGTGAACAGCTGGCAATGTTTACTCCGCTCTATGTCGAATTGCAGGATTGCGGATCTAAAGGGCAACTCCATCCTGCAGCTTGACCCAGCTGTCCCCAACGTGTTTGGCGGTCCTTATCCGTTCGGGATCGACCCCGTGAGTACTTAACATTCCTCCACCAAAGCTGCAGCATTCCCATTACGTTGCATAATTGGGCAGTTTACAAGCCAATTAAACTTCCGCCCGCTATACCTCCGGCATCCTGACCTTGACGAGTGCTGTTTCTCGCCACGGATTTCCTGCCATTTTCAAGCTTTTCAAGTGACTACGTAACCCGAGCCGTGGTTGGTCACGGTAGGGTGCGTGAACTTTGCGCGCATCCATCGCCATGGTCGGGGGGTGGCCGCAGTTTCGCGGTGTTCTTGTCTCCGTGCAAATTGGATTTTTGACGATTGTCCGCGGTTTTTGCAGATCTGGAACGTCGCATCCAATCGCCTCACCTTTCTCAACTCGTACAAGATGAAGATGTCGGTTACCCTGGGCATCATCCACATGGTGTTCGGAGTCGTCCTGAGCCTCTTCAACCACATGTACGCTCCTGCCTTGCTCTCGTAAACACGCCGAGCGTGAATGAATGAATGAATGTCACGCGCGTTGATTTGGTTGGAATATTCTTACGCTCAGGTAATCACGATCTGGTGCGAACATGGGAATGTTATTGTGCCACTGTGCATAATAAACACACCCATCATCACACTAATCAGAAACCGCAATTTCGTAAACTACTGTTCGTATGCTCGATCTGTAATGTGATTCATTTCCCATTCCCTCGCCCGTCCCCCAGAGACCCGCCAGCCAATCACGTGATTGGCTGCTAGACTGCCGGTATATTTTTGGGCGATTTGTTCAGAGCAAAGTGGCAACGTTGGGTTTAAATAATAATCTCAACTTACATTGAACCGGCTAACATGCCCTAATCTGGCCTGGTGGATTGGAGGGTGAATAAGTGGTTCACAGAGGGTTGCAAGATCACAACCTGGTGAGGGGTTGACTTGGCCCATCATCACTCCAGGGTGGATCTAATAGGTACCACTTTGTGGGGAAGTTCACACTGGTTATCCTATGGATAGACTAGCCCCCTGCCATAGGAATATGGAATATGCACCACTGGCTCTGCAGCGTTGTAAACTGGAGATGAGTATCGCCTCCATGCTCATTCGAGCAGCAGGAACTCTCTTTGACTTGGTTTGTCCGCCAGCTATTGTAGTTTTATCGTGAAGTGTATGGCGGGTAAAATGCGTGTGTTTTAACTGTTGCTTCCTTCCCAAATGCCCTTCATAGTTACTTCCAGAAGAAGTGGAACATCTACCTGCAGTTCATCCCAGAGATGATCTTCATGCTGTCGCTCTTTGGCTACCTGGTCATTCTCATCTTCTACAAGTGGTGCAACTATACGGTGCACGAGTCCAAGCATGCGCCCAGCCTGCTCATTGCCTTCATCAACATGTTCCTCTTCACATACAGCGACTCAGGCCCTAATATCTACAAGGGACAGGTCAGCACGCTCTTTGCGCTCGCTCGGGCTGTTTGAATGTTTTCAGGAGGGGAGGAAGCGCGTCGCCCGTCGCCGCCCGTCGCGGCGGTGCCCACCGCGCGTGGCGCCGGTGGTCCGCCCAACTGTGGCAGATTCTATTTTTATTTTCAAAGCGCCGCGTTTTCTCCTGCGTGGCGGGCCGCAGCTTTTTCATCAAAGGGTTGGCGGTGGCCTGCGAGTCCAGAAAGGTCGGACACCCAACGGCCTAGAGCCCGTGACCAATTTCCCGGAATGTTCCCTCCCGGTTGTGTCACATCTCGGAAGCTCTAAGCAGGTGTTGAGCGTGGACTGTGCTTGGATGGGTGACCACCATTCGCTACGGGCGTTATAGGCTGCCGCCGGCCTTCGTGGTGAGTAGAGGAGTGCAGCAAGGTAGATTGTGCGACTGGACTTGCGCGCCCTCACGTGCGGTCCCACAACGTCTGTGCTCCCCGTCTTCACCAACCCCCGCTCCTGGCCAGCGTGGTGAAGTATGGTCAAATCTTCCCTCACGGCCCCGGGGGCGAGAACTTCATCCTGCTGTGGCTTGTCAAAAGGGCTCTCTCTACACGTGCACTTGCGTTGACCGACAGAATACATTGGGAGACTTTATTTGGCCCAACAAAGTTTTTACGCGATGAACTTTTGCATTTTCTCAATTCTCTTATCATTAGAAGTATCCACATACATCTGTAGTTTGAAATAATGGCAGTTTTATTCGATAACACCTCGTGAGATCTTTACTGTTTTGTCGTTTAGAAATCACTTCATCGTTGTTGAAGAAAAATACTCTTAAGTTGTCCCTGTGATTGTCGCTCTTGTAAACAGCAGATTAATAATCCGGCAGGTTTAGTGATGAGGGCCGTGTGTGAGCGGGACGAGTGGGCAGTGCCGTGTGTGTGTGTGTGTGAATGAGAGTGTAGTACCGTGTGTGTGTGTGAATGAGAGTGTAGTGCCGTGTGTGTGTGTGAATGAGAGTGTAGTGCCGTGTGTGTGTGTGAATGAGAGTGTAGTGCCGTGTGTGTGTGTGAATGAGAGTGTAGTGCCATGTGTGTGTGTGAATGAGAAATAAGTGCCGTGTGTGTGTGTGTGTGAATGAGAGTGTAGTGCCGTGTGTGTGTGTGAATGAGAGTGTAGTGCCGTGTGTGTGTGTGAATGAGAGTGTAGTGCCGTGTGTGTGTGTGAATGAGAGTGTAGTGCCGTGTGTGTGTGTGAATGAGAGTGTAGTGCCGTGTGTGTGTGTGAATGAGAGTGTAGTGCCGTGTGTGTGTGTGTGAATGAGAGTGTAGTGCCGTGTGTGTGTGTGAATGAGAAAGAAGTGCCGTGTGTATGTGTGTGAATGAGAGTGTAGTGCCGTGTGTGTGTGAATGAGAGTGTAGTGCCGTGTGTGTGTGTGTGAATGAGAAAGAAGTGCCGTGTGTGTGAATGAGAGTGTAGTGCCGTGTGTGTGTGAATGAGAGTGTAGTGCCGTGTGTGTGTGTGAATGAGAGTGTAGTGCCGTGTGTGTGTGAATGAGAAAGAAGTGCCGTGTGTGTGTGTGTGAATGAGAGTGTAGTGCCGTGTGTGTGTGTGAATGAGAGTGTTGTGCCGTGTGTGTGTGTGAATGAGAGTGTAGTGCCGTGTGTGTGTGTGAATGAGAGTGCAGTGCCGTGTGTGTGTGAATGAGAGTGTAGTGCCGTGTGTGTGTGTGAATGAGAGTGTAGTGCCGTGTGTGTGAATGAGAGGGCGGTGCCGTGTGTGTGTGTGAATGATAGTGTAGTGCCGTGTGTGTGTGTGAATGAGAGGGCAGTGTGTGTGTGTGTGAGAATGAGAGGGCAGTGTGTGTGTGTGTGGTTGAGAGGGCAGTGTGTGTGTGTGTGAATGAGAGGGCGGTGCCGTGTGTGTGTGTGAATGAGAGGGCGGTGCCGTGTGTGTGTGAATGAGAGTGTGATGCCGTGTGTGTGTGTGAATGAGAGTGTAGTGCCGTGTGTGTGTGTGAATGAGAGGGCAGTATGTGTGAATGAGAGTGTTGTGCCGTGTGTGTGTGTGAATGAGAGTGTGGTGCCGTGTGTGTGTGTGAATGAGAGGGCAGTGCCGTGTGTGTGTGTGAATGAGAGGGCAGTGTGTGTGTGTGTGTGGTTGAGAGGGCAGTGTGCGTGTGTGTGAATGAGAGGGCGGTGCCGTGTGTGTGTGTGAATGAGAGTGTGATGCCGTGTGTGTGTGTGAATGAGAGTGTAGTGCCGTGTGTGTGTGTGAATGAGAGGGCAGTATGTGTGAATGAGAGTGTTGTGCCGTGTGTGTGTGTGAATGAGAGTGTGGTGCCGTGTGTGTGTGTGAATGAGAGGGCAGTGCCGTGTGTGTGTGTGAATGAGAGGGCAGTGCCGTGTGTGTGTGTGAATGAGAGGGCAGTGTGTGTGAATGAGAGGGCAGTGTGTGTGAATGAGAGGGCAGTGTGTGTGAATGAGAGGGCAGTGTGCGCATGCCAAGCTTTCAATGGGTATCCGTTGGTGTACGTACTGGGGGTGGGGGGGGGGGGTTTGGCAGTAATCGTGAATCGTTTGTATATCTGATGAATGTGGCACTCGATGAGCACCTTTCCGTGATTACAAGCAACCGTACACTTGTTTTTACACATTCTGTCCGCAGCTATAGGCGATGTTGACAGCGCATGTCTGGCCTGGGCACCTTCGTAGGGCGAGTGACCAACCTCACGGCAATACACTTCTATAGATTGTCCCATCTCTGTTAACGATCGTGGTTTTACGTTACTTTTGAGGTAATGGTTTTTAGAATGATTGATGGTACTTTTTACAAACGCGGTTATAATCCGTGTTGGTGTGGCCGCTATCTCTCCAGACAGTGGCCTCGCGTCCGCTGCAACTGATTGTAACACGAACGGTGCTCACGTATTCCATATTTTGTTTACGTAGCTGCCGCTGAATTATATTGTCAGTTTTATTTGTATTTATTACCGTTGCTCGTAATATTTGCGCCGTGTTTGCCACAAGGCCTCGTTAGCGTAAGATAAATATAGTATTTTGATGGTTTTGTGTGGTTGCAATTAGGGCACTGATTGATTGATGGAACATTCGTCAATTTATAATCGTCAGTGTTGCTTGTTTAATGTGGAAAAAATAACATGAAATCCCACGCAATCATGAACTTGTATGAAGAATTTGAAGGCGTTTGCCACAATATACGACATTGGTGAATTTAGGTGGCACAAACCGCGCTCGTTTGCCTGAGTTGAAGCGCACCTGGGAGCTCTCGCCGTCGCCAGAGAATGCAAGCGAGCGGCTCCTGCCACCGCTGACGAGCGTTGTCTGCGTGCAGCGAGGGCTGCAGTCCTTCCTGGTGGTGCTGGCGCTGCTGTGTGTGCCTGTGCTGCTGGCGGGCAAGCCGCTCGTGCTTTGGTACGAGGACCGGAGGCGCCGTCACCTGGTGAGACCGCGGCCTCGGCACGCAGGCCCGTCTTCTCCAGACGCCGCCGCCGGCGCTCCTTCTGCCCCTGCTTCTGCCGCCGCTGCCGCCTCTGCTGTGCGATTCCTGAATCGTCGCACCTTAGCGCAAAATGTCGTAGAGCGGAGGTCGGCGTTGTCGTTGGCCGCGAGGTCGTTACTCGTCGTTAGCGGGCTGTTGCGGGAGGATGAGGGAGGATGGCCTTAAATTGCAATCTCCAGCTGGGTTGCCGGGCGCCTGCGCCAATTTTAATGCCGCAAGCACAAATTCCCATTTAATGATCTTCGAAACAACCCGTGCACATCTGTTTGTGCGCGTGCCTCGTTCCTGCAATTTAATTTTTTTTTATTTTAATGGGAATAATATGCAGATTTTTTACACTTTCAAAGTGTGCCCTTTTCTGCTTTTCTATAGTTTGTATGGATAAAGGGGCGTAGGGGAGCCATGTAAAGAATTTCATTTTAATTTCTTTTTCTTTTTCCACACCCATTTAATTATCATATTTTGAGATTTTTAGCCGGGATACACATGATGAATATGGCGTGTGTATTTATGTACGTCGGACTTCTTTCGCACCATACATAGTCAACCGTACTCATCTCAGAATGCCACGAGACACCGAAAACAGAGCTGTGCGGCGGGCATGCACATCGTTACATAAATTATGGAAAATAACAACCAGAGTGGCAAATCAAACGTGATTGCCGGCTCGACTCGTTTGAATTCTGGACAATTTATGCCATTAACGACGCAGCCGCTCTGCTATATTTCCACGTGTCACTATATCGTCGTGGGCAAGACGAGCAAGGTGCAGTCAAAAGCGTGCACCGTACCGGCACGCGTTGGCCGTGCGCGCCCAGCCAGGCGCTCGCGCCCCCCGTTGGTGCCGCGTGCGTCCGAGCGTCGCCGTGGCTACGAGGGGGAGGCGGCGCTGGGCTCCGGCGGCCGTCACGGTCCGCGTGCGACCGCGCCCGCCCGCGCCGCTCACCGCCTGCTTTCTCTCGGCGCGCGTGCCATCGCAGGGAACCACGAATTTCGCCGGCGTGCGCGTAGGGAACGGGCCTACGGAGGAGGACGCGGGCATCATTGACCACGACCAGCTGTCCAACCGCTCGGACGAGGAGGAGCCGGTGAGACCGCCGCCCCCCTCCGCGTCCCCCCGTTGCCGAGCCGACCGGCTCACGCCCCCTAACGCTCCTCTGACGCCCCCCCACCCCGCCCGCGTTGCCACGCGGCTCGCTCCCTGGAGCGCGGTGCCCTTGCCCACGCTCGCAAAACTCGGCGAGGGCACCAGAAGCTTCGTTTCCGTCGCGCTGCCGGGCCCCGCGTGGAGGAACTAACGATCGCAGTTGCGGCAAGGACGAGAAGTAGATTGATGCCTCGCCTCATTGCCCTATATATTAGGGGCCGTATTACCCGAGCCGTACGCTCGCTCATGCAAATGCCCCCCCCCCCCCCCCCGTGTCATTTTTCACTAAATTCTTGATCATGTGCCCCAATGCGAGCTTTCCACGGAACCCCGGCGGCCGGAGGAAATGCCGTATTAATCCCCAGCGATGTGCCACATGCTTTGCTTCAGTCTCGGGGATTTGCAGGAGTAGAGCATGACAGCAGCATGCGAGCCTGCCCCCGCGGTCGCCTGTGTCATGTTCTTCAAGAAGAGCGAGGGTGGCGGTGGCGGTGGCCGCGGCGGCTGCCACAGCCGCCGCGGCTGTGCTCAGGCCGGGGACTGCAGGGAATTGCTCGCCTTGACACTCGTGGAATTATTTTGTTTTGTTTTTAAGCCCCGTGCGCATCGTGAGAAACGTGACCTTTCGGCAATACCAGCTGCGGATTATGATTTCTCTGCAAACAGTTTTGTGTTTTGCTGTGTGGTTGGTTGGTTGGCGTTCCTGGCTGTTGTGATTGCACGGCCGCGCCACTCGCAGCCGGGTTGCCGAAGTAATATCGCCTCTGCGTGGGAGCATTCTTAAACGGAGTTAATTGAAACCGTTTAACCGACGCCGCAGCGCACGGTGACGGCACGGCGGTGTGTCCCACGTCATAACATGGAGCTCGACGCTTTCTACAATGCAATAAATATTCAGCGATGTAGCTTTTGAGGCACATATCGTTTGACACGTACATATCTATGAATATATATTCCTCACGGTGGCACGATTGTCGTTCTTTTCCCACGAATGAGAGCACGAGAAACGCCTCGCACAAAGGCGTGACGTCTAACAAACACGAGGGTTGACTCTTTTTATACTTTCTTTGGCCTTGTCGCAAATTAACCGATGTTTTTTTGTTGTTGTCGTCCACTTCGCGACTGACAACGGAACATAACGTTTTTAAGCCTGCGGAGAAGGAGCCGCCGGTGAGTTGGTTTGGTGCAGCTCCCCGCACGCCCCCCTTGCACGCTTCGCTTTCCGTGTGTAACCATCGACGTGCGCGCGCGTGTTTTCCGCAAGTCTTCGCGTGGCGTCCCGTCGTGGTTGAGATTGTCTTAACGCTGCGTGCGTTGCGGGCCATTTACACCCCGTAGATCACGTGCAGGGGCCATAATGGCGGTTGTGTGTGGAAACGGTGGGGTGGCGTGTGGGGCTTTGGGTGGGAAGGAATTGAGCCTCGTTGTGATTTCAGACATTCCACTTTTAACTCCAGCTGTTCCACTCCTGCGACACGTCCGCGTTGGCAAAACCGCATGCAAATGTGCGGCATTCATGGGGACAGACAGCCCCCCACCCCCAACTGCCCTCCCTCCCCACCCCACGGTCACGATGTTGTTGAGGTTCAGGCGGCGCTGCCTCTCTTCGCTTTCCCCCCTTTGCCTCTCACAAATGCAATCTTTGATGATTTCCTAACCCGTGATCTCTGATTTTTGGTGGTGGAGTTTGCACCTAACACCAAATCGTGGAATCATTCAATTCCTGGTTTAATCACAAAGTGTAATTGCTCTGTATGTTTTATATTTGTCGTGGCTATATATTGCACACGTCGTGAGAGATAGGATCGCATTTGGAGCTACTCTGTGATAATACGCTGACAATATTTGAAGGATATTAAAAGGAAAATCCCAGCGTTTTTTTACCAAACAGAGGATTGGGGCAGCGTTCATCTGCGTTGGCCACCTTGTAAGCCAAAAATGTAAATTCCACGTGTGTGTGAGTGGCAGCTGATCCATAGGGTGACACCATTCACTTTCCACGCAGTATTACTCAATTTAATGATCTAGCAGGATGATGAGCCGAGTATATCCCAAACTGGCTTTTGAACTTGTAACATTCTAATTGTGAGTAAAACATTCAGCGGTATTTAGTATATATATAGTTTGCATATAATGAAACAGAACGCCTACGTAACGCCGCACAGCGGGACTGGCCCTGCCGCGAAACCGCATGACATGGAAGGTCGGGTCGTGCGCTGTGTTCCCTGCAGTTTGACTTTGGGGACGTGTTTGTGCACCAAGCCATCCACACCATCGAGTACTGCCTGGGCTGCATCTCCAACACGGCCTCCTACCTGCGCCTCTGGGCCCTCAGCCTGGCCCACGCCCGTGAGTTCACCCCCCCCCAACCCCCCCCGCGCTCTCGCGCCTTTGTCGTTGTGACCTCGCGATTTGGCGATATAACAATCCACGACAGTCCCAACTTCCTGCATCTCGTCCTGAGGATGCCTGACGCAGTAGCGAGCGGATCATTGCGAATCGAAGTGCCGTGGCGTTACGCGCTCGTACGCTGCGAGTGGCCATCTCATTGGTTTCTCCCTGTCGGGTGGTGGAGGGGCTTTACGACACAAAATTGAGACCAGTCATTACGTGGCCTAACTGCGACAGCGTCCGCGATCTTAATGTTGGCTGCTAAAACCTACGTGCTAAATAAAATACATTGCTGCCGCCAATAAGATTTGCGACCCTCCACCACGCAATAGACCCAATCAAATCAAGTTGTCACATCGTGGGTAAATATGGCAATTGATTTAGTTTTTTCAGCAAAACCAGAGAAATATTAAAAAGCAAAGCAGCATTTTGACGATTCTATCCGGTGTGAAATTGTCAAAATGTCGCTTTTCATCGTTCTTCCTCCTCCTCCTGCAGTTCGCTTAAAAAATTATAAATAGATTGGCATTTTCGCCCACGATGTGATGACTTGATTTGATGTGCTCTGTCGAGTCACAGTTAACAATGTACACTGCACCCCCCGCGACGATGTAACGTGAAGAGCGATGAATAATGAATGAACGTCGGGCGTGAGAGCCCTACGTCTAAAAATGAATAAACACTGCGCATGGAAATAGAGAGCACAGCGGGCTGATGTGGTGACCCTCTGGACAATTTTCACTCAACTCTACGACACATTACCCTGGAGACGCACGCGGCTATTTTCACAACAGTACTTTGCGAGCGTGAACGGGGAAAACAAACCTACGCTATTTTATAGGCAACATTCAGCACTAAGCGGTTTTTAAGCCTCCTCCGCCACTTTTCCGAGATACGCACCCCCAGCCACCGCGCACTGGTGGAGCTCTCCGTGCCTGCCTCTCGACAGCAGCTGTCACACACACGGGGATTCGCATGCGAATATAAATGAGCTAATCAGCAATCGTGCCGCATTGATAACTTGGACGGAACGTAACCGAATCAGACGGCGTATTTTTTCTTGAAGATCAAAAATCAAAGTGATATCATGCCCAAAATGAGCATCGAGGCGTCATCAGTTCTCATCTTCCCTTTGCAGCCCCGAGCCAGAGCAAGAAATGCCAGATTCGTATGGCCGGGGCGAGTATCCATGAGGACTACCACCGCTGTTGTCTTCCCCACAAAGTGGTCCTCATTTTATTGATCACAGAGAGATAATGGGCTGACCCAATCCCCATCCAGGGTTCGAACTCGCAACCTTCCGTTTGCGAATCGCTCGCTCTGTTGCTGAGCCACTTGGCTGGAAGATGTAGAACCTTTCAGAAAGTGATCGCCATATATATTTTGCCATAGCATCCAGCAAAACAACAACTAAATCTATACATTTCATTTGCACTCTTAGCAGGTTGTGTCTGGTACCACAGAGGCACCTAGTTTTCCTGGAAGCTGACAGTTGTTATTTTTAAGCATTTTAGGTTCATCAGTTCCCTCCCATGCAGCATCATTGCATTTAATCACACGCCAGTTTTTGAAAGCCTTCCATTAGCTCGCAGCCACGGCGACACGCTGGTAATTAATGAGGCTATCGCAGCTGCCTGCAGCAATTGTTTTGAGGCAGAATGTGCAAATTGCATTTCCTGCTTTGCCAATCTATCTGTGTCTGCACGGCCGGTGAGTGTGCCGCAGCCTAATGAGGAGATCGGATCTACGCGCACTTTATTAGGGGCTCATCTGTATTTCATTTGCATTTGTCTCGCGATTCGGTGAAAATGAAAATTCCACGCATGGGTGTAGCGCGCGCGCTCGCAGACGGCTGTAACTGGAGCCACTGTAACTGTGTAAATCTGTGCTGAGCGCATCGCCGTACGGGCGGTGGTAAATAACGGCCGTCCCGGCGCTGACCCGCATGTAAAATGAGCCGGCGGTGTATCCATTACCGGGCGCTCGCGGACCGGAGGACCGCGATCCGCTGGCCAAGTGGAGCGTGAGTGAAAGCGGTTATGGAGGGGATGCCAATTTTATTGCGGCGTGATGGGAGCCGGCCTCGCCATCATAATAACCCGCCGCTCGTTCACGGGCGCGAGCCCCGGCGGCGGGAGAAACGTCCCCCGCTTGGCAATTCCCCACGCCGCCGTGATGCAATATCGGTGCCCGTCGGTGTGGACAGCGGCTTCACGCGGGCTGCTGCTTGCGCGCAAGGCAATAACCTGGAGCTGGGATGGATGCGTCTCCGGTGCGGGAGACTGGCAGAGATGGTTTTTGACGTTGTGGAAACTCGTACGCTTGGCTTCTGTGTTCACAGTCGAGCGTCTATTGCTTTCATCGAATCAAAAGAAGAGTATCAAACAGCAGTCGGTGGAATGCTGTGACCTCGTCATTAGTTAGATTAATTATATCTGCTGGTTTTTGCTTTTTACTCATTAGGCTATTAACAGCGCCAGGCTTGTTTGCCCGTGAGTTGACGATAAGAAATTCATCACGTGTGGCAATGATGTAACAAGTGAACAAATTAAGCAAAAGCACGTGCCCCTTTCTGACACGGAAGCACGAATTGAATTGAACGTCCACATTTTAGCGGTACCCTACGGCACGACCTTTGAACCCCCCCGAGTGTTTTTGACAACGCCCTCAGCCCTCCCAGTCATCCATCACGTCTGGCTTCAGCCATCGGCATCCTGCAATAAGGCGGTCCGCACATTCATCACGGCCCCGTGCATTGGCCAGAAACAAAATGACGCCTCTCCTCCCAGCGGCACTAAAGCACTCTCGCTCGGCTACAATTCTGAACTGGAAACGACCCAATTTGGCCATTCCTCCTCCACCTACGAGCCATCTGTTCACCTCTCAAGGTCCTTTCTGATGGGTTCTCTAACTACTTTAGCAAGCAAGTGTGGGTGCTGGTCATTTGTTTTTATAAAATAGTTTCTTGTTATTCTCTAGCTCCATTGGCGTCCCATTTCTCTTTTTGTTCTTGCCACTGTCGATGCCAAAGAGCTGCCCACGTAGTTGCGGTTGCATTTTGTAAAATTAATTATTACGTTTGGTTGAAAGCGGTTGGGTTTCTTTCCAGTTTTCTGTAACGTGTTAGTCGTCAGACGTTCGTTTCCTGTTCTCCATTTTGAGGATGTGACACGAATGACGAAGCAGCGCTTTGTTTAGAATGGGAGCGTCAATTTGTCAAACTGAAATAGGTGTCCCGTTAACCAGCGAATGATAACATTTGAACGGCTGTGAAATACCGTGACACATCAAGTTATTTGCAAGTGCGGATTGTGAATAATTCTTTGATGAATGCATAAAGAATGCCGCTATCGTCTGAACGGTTTTACTGCCGCTGGAAATGGCAAACGCGTCGCCACAAATCTGAGGAAGGATTTGAAATGTCCAGGCCATTCGGCGCAGGCGCTCGCCACCAATGAGGTGTGTGCCACTGGCCGGGAGCCAGGTCATTGTGCATGCCGGTTCATTTAAAGCTGCTGCGTCAAATTTTTATTTTTAATTACGTTTCCAAATGATATATATTTTTTGTTAACATTTTTGCCCTTTAATGGAGACTGATGGTCTTATTGGGCTGTTGCCTGCCCGTATAAATACACACACACACACACACGTATAATGGTCGTCGTCGTAATTAGCCACGGTCTCTCCACTGCTGGATGAAGGCTGCTCCGAGCCTGCGCCGTCTCTCGCAGTGCTAGTTGCCCTGGCACCCCGCACAGCAGCTGATCCCATCGCTCCATCTCCACGCTTGACGTTCTCTCGGGCACGATCCACCCCATGTGTATTTCATGGTTCATTAACGTTTGGACAAGCAAACCTCTTAACACTAGAATTAATATCGTTACAATCAGAACTGTCTTGATTTGAAGCTTTCGTGACTGCAGGAATCCATACTCTTTGGTTCTTTTGGTAAAGTCACGTAGTAGGTAGAAATAAAATATTTTGTTTTATTTTTGTTTTATTTCTAAGTACGTGACGTTACCGAAAGAACTAAAGAGTAATCAGAACTGTGATATTTCGGCAAACTTTATTTTTTATGACTCTGCTGATGATAGCCGTATAACTGCATGATCTTGCATGCCGAACGTGCGTGACTACGTGGTTGTAGCCCAGGTAGTTTAAAAAAAATGCTTTCGTTCCAGAAGTCTTAAAATATATATACAGTGTCCAAGGCCCTTGGTTAATCTTCCGCTTAGAATTGCACAGATGTTTGTGATGGGAATCTTTTTCTCAAATGAATGCCTGCATGAGGCGTGCGGGGCCGCACGAGGTGTGTGCGTGTGTGATATTGTATAGATTTGGAGATGACTTGCAGCAGTGTCATGTAATAAAATGGAATCAGGGGTAGGGTTATTGGGTCGCAGTGCGCTGATGATTCACTGATTAACCTCGTTTCTGCCGAGCAGCTTCTAGTCATTCTCCTGGGGTTGCCATTCAAGTGGGGAAAAAAAACACCTAATTTAATTTCCTGTTGTCCAGTCGACTCTCTTAATTGTTAACAAAATATAACACTTTATTTTATTATTTCTGTCGTTCCTTTATCACGATTTAAGTGAATGATTTTTCGCGTAATTTAACGGAGGAAAGGGAAAGGTGTCTCATTTAATTCTGCCGTTCCTCTCATGACGGAGCGGAGACGTTGAATGCACGGGGGGTAAAGAAAAGGTCACATGTCTAAAGAGATTGGTGGCGGCCAGGGCAACGTCGCAGGCAGGCACCCTGACAGGGACGTGGGGAAACACCGAGACTGTTACCATGGCTGGTCTTGTATTAGGAAGCCACCGGAGCCATGCACTTTTACATCTAAATTGAAAACTCTCCTTTAGAACCGCTTTCGGTGTTTCGTTTGTTGTCCTCCGATTAGCGCGGTTGGCTCCGTACCTTGCGAAAGAAGTTCAGCGTACACACGTACATACATACACATGTACGTGCATACCTACCTACATACACATGTACGTGTATACGTACGTACATACACATGTACGTACGTACATATGTACGTACATACATACACAAAGACAAAGATCCCCTGTATAGCCTTAACAGACTGTTGGGGCAAGTGCTGTTAGCGAGCACCTATAAAGGCTAGAACGGCACACGAGGGGGTGGGTGGCCAGCACCACGCCCGGCTGCCTTTGTCTCCCCAGTGGCGATGTTTTTACGCACCGCACCAGTTACTCATTTGAGGCTGAGTCGACCTAGGGGAGGCCCAGGACCGGTTCAGATAATCGTCACTGATGTTGGCCGTGAGCGGGAATCGAACTCGGGTGATCAGGTTCGTGGCGCAGCGTAGCGCTAACCGCTACACTACCGCTCCCCTCTACACACACATACGCACGTACATACATAGAAGCAGACTCCTTCACATGTTTCATATGCTTAGCCCCTCGCAGTGTGCGGCGCTAAAGACCAAGGCGGTTAATGAAATCGATGTTGCTCTCCGATGAAAGCGTTCACAATCCCCACCGTGTGTCCATTCGGGTATTTCTACGGTGAGCAAGCAATTTCATGCTAAAAATGAGCATGGAGCCATTGGTGCTCATCTCGGATGTACAGCCTCCAGACGTGAGTGTAACAAATTACACTTTATATCGATTGGACAACCACTGTTAACTTCCCCAACAAGTTGTGCCTATTTTACCCGCCCCTGAGAGATGATGGGCTCGTTCAAGCCCCAACGTGTGGATGTATACTCGCAGCCTCGTGATTGCGATCGGCTCGCCCTACCGCCGGAGAGGCCGAGCGGCGCCACTCTTCTCCTGGCTCGCGCCGAACGCTCCACGCTTTGCTTTCCTGTCCTGCGCCATGCCCTCGGCGCGAGCGAACGCGGGTGCCGCCCGTTCCCGGTGGCACCCGGTGGCGCCCGCTGCCGGTGGCGCCCGCTCCCGGTGGCGTGCTTCAAGTGCTTGCTTGTGGCGCAGGCCTGAATGTCCAAGCCGTCTATGGCAGTGAATGCGCTGCAGCTCCCACGCGTCGCTGGGCCTTGAGCGCTGACGGGCAGCTGCCCTTTCCTCTTCCACCCCTAGGAATTTGCGTCCGGCGCTTCGCTCGCTCCGTCGCACTGACGGTGGGGCGGGACGCTTACCCGGCGTGTTGCGGCCGACGCGTTTCATGCTGCGAGCGCCGGCAATGCCAGAAGCAGCGGTTCCGTGACCTTGCGTGAAACGGTGCAAATGAAAGGAGAAGAAAAAACCCGTGATGACTCTTGACTGTGTTTATAAATATACTTTTAATGACAGCTACTTAAAAAAGCTTACGGCTGGATGATTTAATGGGTCGGGCACAGCTAATGGGCACTACAAGGAAATATAGCAGATGAGTGACAACTTCTTTAAGCACGTGCATTGCGAGTGTGCGTTCTGCCGGTAAATCCCAGACTGTAAACCACCGTGCACGTGCAGTGTTTTGTCTCGATTGATTTCTCTGAAGAAAACAACAACGGGATGATTGCTCCTTTCACGAGCAGGCTGTAGAATATTTTTTTATTGCATCAGACTGAACATCAATGCGTACAATTCGTTTTTTTAAAAATGCGTTGCAAAAACGCCAATAACTGGAACTAAAAAACGTACTGGCCATGTTGGTATCGTACATTGTTTTGAATCGTATAAATAACATTCTCTGGCGTCGTTTGTGTGTAGAGCGAAGTCTGCATTCTGTATCTTAAAGTACGTAGACTCTGTGTGTGCGGAGTGGCACAAAATGTAGATTTTTAAAAAGTCGAGCGTTTGCAGCGTTGTTCTTGCCAGACATTCCGCTATAGGGCTGCAGAGCTTGGAGCAGTAGCACCAGTCCTGGCTGCCATTTCCGCTTGTCTGTGGTTTTCCTCTCCTGCGTGGAAAAAGGGTTCGGGAATGCAAGTTCGCATGAATGATGGTATAAGTATATATTTTGTGTCATCGTCTAGGATTTTGGGGAATGCGGTGGCTATCGGCGTGCAGCTGAGCGTGGTTCCGCACAAGGGTTAAGTGCTCGTACACCGCGGTAGAAAGTGCTGCCACCAGCTCGTTTGTAATTGTGTTCCTCCGGCACCGCCAAACTTCCATTTTTTTTGTTGCTCGGAAAATGCGCATGGCAACTCATCGTTATATTTGACGTGGGCACAACGGAGATTTGTAACCTCTCGTACGCTGCGCACGAACGTTGGCTACGGGGCAGTTCGTCTCTTTGGGCCAATTGGGGGAAATTAAAAATGCTAGATAGCCCCAACGGTAATCCAAACAAAAAGCCTCCTAAAACTTTCCAGCACAAGCGATGGCTCTTTTTGCTTTCTGTTTAAGTTCGTTTCAATTTGTTGAATGTGCAGACTTAGCCCTTGATGCACTTTGTGCTAATTACTTGAGCACACTGCTGGTATTTAATCCCAAATCCCACAATGTGAACTGACTTGTAACTGAATTCTACGAATGCGTACGTCTCTTCATATTTAAAGATACTCTGGCCTTATTAAGTCACCTCGTTGGCCGATGTAGCACATCGCACACGCGTGTTGCGTTCTAAATGAGTAACGCTGGTGCGGACAATATAACTCAGTAACTAATCGGACAAGCCGCTTCCTTCCAATAATCCAAGAATCTGTCCGTCCAAAGTGGTATTCATTTTATCTACTTTAGAGGGATGATGGGCTGAGTCAACCTCTCATCAGGATTTGAACTCGCGAACTTGGTTTGCAAGGAGTGACATCGTGGCATTGTGCTTGATGACCTCTTGATGACCTCTTGATGACCTCTTGATGACCTCCTGGCCTTCTTTGTGTACATTTGGTAAAGTCCTTGCCAGTACGTCTGGAAGTTCACCAGCATTGATTTAAGCAAGCCTGACTACTGATGAGACGCTGTATGTCGAAGCTGGTGCAGAGTTTGCTTGTCTTGAAATGGGTGCTGCTGAAATTACGCACTCCCAGAATGCCGTGCAGCTGGTTGGTTGTGTAAGAAATCTAGTAATTATTTATGTGGAGGCGGATATGTGAAGCAGGCATCTTGCCTGCTTAATTATTTTGTGAGGTACTCGGGCAAGTCAGACCAAGCTAGTGCCGGCCCAAGTTCAACATTTGTAATTTTATCTTTCGGTATTCTATGTACTTGGTGTACGGTTTATTTATTTGTACACACACCACTTTTATTACATTCGTGGGCATGAAAACTCGGCGTGGCAATATAAATAAAAATCACAAAATAAGGCCTCGTATTTCATATTTATTGTGGGAATACTGAAATTACAGTTATTGCCATATCAATAAAGCGATAACATTGCAGCATGAAATCAAGGATATATTGTTGGTGTGTCGCTGTGGTGAATTGCGCCCAGGCTCGGAGTGATGTGCAGCGTAGATAACATGGATTACACTTTGTGGTGAAGTCAAAAGTGGCTGTCCTGTGGAGAGACTCTTTGGCCGGCAGCTGTAGTACCTTGTGCTTTACGCGATGAGTTACGGGCCCCCTCTACACGCAGGCCTGGGAACATTCACCCACTCACTCTCTCGAGATCGCTCTTTGCCAGGAGAGACCAGTCCTCCGGTTGTAACGTATGTCTGCCGACAGATGTATACGGGCAAATAATTCATCTTGTCTTCTTGTTGGTGAGATGCCGAAACATTTATCTTCCGAGTGCGACTGACGAGCCAGACTAGTTGCTGACGTTAAGATGAAGTGTGGCCCCTCCAGAGTGTGAGCACAAAACGCCATTGCGACTTTCCCTCTCCAATACCGACCGTGGGTGTGCGTGTACGTGTGCCCCCTGTCTGCATCTTCAGTATGAGAACTGCTGCATTTTAAGCAGTGCCCTTTCGAAGGGAACCATATTAACATACCGCGTCGTCTCTGCCGGTGCCATCTGCCAAACGTAACAATTTTTTGTCGTGCAGATGGGCGCGCCTCCCGCTAGACGAGGGCAGTGCGGACGCCCTGCTCACGGCAGACATCGCAGGCACATCGCAAACCAGCGCACACCTCCAGACGTTCCGAGCCCATTTATGCGTAAATATTAAAATCGAGTGAAAGATGTATCTTTTTTCACAAAGTGACATGTTTACGCTGCAGTAGCAGGTGGAATTATAACAAATTCTCAACTTTAATTGTTTGGCGGCTGATATTAAAGCAGGCGATTATGGTAATTGGGTATCTTGGGGCACCGTGTTGTTTTGCATCGGCGTGGGTTTCCATTGCGCCCCGAGTCCCATCAAGCAGCGCGTGGTAAATGGCTCTGGCTTTGATGCGTCTGACCGTGCGGTCTCAGCAGTGTGTTTGTCCTTTGCCGATGGGGCTAACAATTAAACCAATTATGAGACACTATGCTGCGCTGTATCGGGAGCGCTTTCGCTCTCGTGTGAGCTCGAGCAAATTCACTCGGTTACGAAAGAAGGGCTCGGTGAACGCAAACAGTCACGTGTTCTAAAGTCTATGCAACTTACTTGCACGGTCAACACAAAACTCCTAAAACGAACACACTGTTTTTTTCTCCATTGCATTTTTCCCAATTTCACGCAAATGAAGACGTTATCCAACTGTGCACTCTTGAGAACAGCGATCAGTTAAGATGCCACGGAGATGCCACGGAGGTGATGTCAGTTTTGGCTCCTATTGTTCCTCGGTGCCCGAATCAACCCGTCCGTCCGTCCCTGTGCATCTGTCCGCTCTTCGCAGAGCTGTCCGAAGTGCTGTGGGGCATGGTGATGCACACGGGGCTCAGACAGAACAGCTACGCCGGCTTCTTTGGCCTCATCTTTGTGTTCGCCTTCTTCGCCGTGCTCACCGTCAGCGTGCTGCTGGTCATGGAGGGCCTCTCGGCCTTCCTGCACGCTCTCCGCCTGCACTGGTGAGCGCTCGGCCGCACGCACGCACGCACAGACGCACACACGCACACACGCACGCACAGACGCACGCACGCACAGACGCACACACGCACGCACACACGCACGCACGCACACACGCACGCACACACGCACGCACAGATGCACGCACGCACACACGCACGCACACACGCACGCACACACGCACGCACGCACACACGCACAGACGGCCGCACACACGCACGCGTGGCCTCACGCTCGGCCTCTCTGGACCAAGCATACTGCTTGCCACTCTAAGCCTCTCTGGGTACATTCTGCCCTTAATTATTACAAAATGGTAATGCCAGGAGTGATTACTCTGCTCCAATTAGCAGAGTTCAGTTATTTAATGGGGAAATGTTCCACGATCATATCCTCATTAGTGGGAGAATTTGCACACTGTTCCCCTTCACGATCTGGGCTCAAATGTGCATTTGTTTTGTCGGGTGAAACTCTGTGTGTGTGTAACTCTGTGTGTGTAACGCTGTGTGTGCGCGGGTGAAATTCTGTGTGTGTGCTGAATATCTACGCAGTGGTGCAATGCTTCCCTGCAGAGGAATGGAAGAGATCTCATTCAGTCACCTGCTTTTATTTATCGTTTCTTTGTTTGTTTGGGGGTGGATTTTCTTCAGTCGGTGCTGCGAGGTTTCTCTTAAAGTGTGAGCCGTGTGACTAATTATCGGCGTTGACTGGTCGCCCGGCCACGGGGTATTCCGCTGCTTTCTAACAAACACACACACACACGCGCACACGCGTGTGTGTGTGTGTGTGTGGCGATTCCCACGCGAGCGCAGGGAGACTGCGGTGACGGCCGCCTCCCCGCTGCGTCGCCGAGTGACGTGGATGGGGGGCACGCGGCCGGCCGCGAGCGCGGCGTTGCGTTTGAGAGCCCCCCGCGGGCGCATTCCGTGAGCCCGAGTCCTGGGGGAGGGGGGGGCTGCGTCCCCGCGGGTCGCGCAGGCCCAGCCTGCCCCCCCCCCGTCCCCCTGGGGACGCTCGCTCCCCGAGTGCAGGGACACTGTACGCGCTCGTCCGCGGCCGTGGTGTCGTACGCAGGGCGGCGGAAGTAGATTCACTGGTGACATTTGTGTAACTCGTTTTTAATTGTGCTTGGGAACGCGACGTCTGTGGTGTCGCTGTGTTCGTGTAAGTGATTGGTGAATGTGTTAAAGAAAGTGTTGGCAGCTTGTATAAACATTTTTAATATCCAGAGAAAATGTGACACCCTCTGTTGTGTCCGTATAGATTGACATTCGGCATTTGTTCAGAACACCCCCCCGCGCTCTTCCTTATAACCGAGGCGGTGGGAGGACTAAAAAAAAACCATTGTCACAAGACGTCGTTATTCACAGGCACACTGCTGGCACGGTGTGATGTATGTTAAACGCAGAGATGTGACAGCCGCTTAAAATATTCCAAATGGCAAGTTTAAACTGACGAGCACTAGAAAGGCTTTTTGAGCAGCACGCTGCTCCGCTCCTCATCCTGACGACACGGACAGCGCTTCCGATGCGCTCGCCCCGCGTTTCCTCTTCTCGGTGCCACCGTCAAACAAAGCCGCCGCCTTCAATCGACGGCTTCCGATGCGTTTGTCCCCGCCGCGTGCGATCGTTGCCGGCTCCGGCAAACGACCCTGATTCTCAACGGATGAATGCCGTCGCTGCGATGTAATGAGTGCCCGTTTCACGCGGACGCCGTTCGATAACGGCGTTGACACGTCCGGAGCGTACGCCGTTTCTGCTGAGGAACTCTGCGGTTACTGCTTTAACGCTGCCGCCACCACCACGGTGTACATACAGACAAAGATCCACCGTGTAGCCTTCTACACTCCGTTGGGGAAAGTGCTGTTTTACGAGCACCTTTGAAGTCCAGCATACGAGGGAGGTCGGTGGCCAACACCACTCCCGGCCACCTTTGTCTCCCCGGTGCTGATGTGTATTCACCTCCTCAGGTACCCATTTAAGGCTGAGCCAAGCTAGGGGGAGGCCCAGGACCGGTTCTGCTAATCGCACGAATTAGATTGTGAGCGGAAGTTGAACTAGGGTGGTCGCCGGTTCGTTGAGCCACTGCTACCCACACAGTCAATACACACACAGTCAATACACACACACAGTCAATACACACACACCGTACACACGGGCAGTATCTAAAGCCTCTTGCCAAATGTGTTAAAGTAATTACTTGTTTGTATTTTAAATAATTGGTGGAATTAATATTAAATGCAATTTGACATATGGAGTAGCTGGATAAAGAGCATTGATTGTTTTCTCGCTCCTTTATTTTTAATTAAATCAGTTTTAGTTAAAAATACTGAATTTATTTGTAATTAATATTTGAACAAAGACATGTTCTGCTTATTTTCAATCACAGTGTGTGGTGCCTTTATCTCGGGATGTTTAATGTATGGCAAATATTAATGACTCTTCCAGAGTTTCTTTTTAATGTTTAGGTTACGTTCCTGTATGTAACTAAAATCAAGACATTCATTTTACCAGGTTCAGTTCAGTTCATGTATTCGGTGTGGCCCTGTGAGCCATGCGGCTCTTGACTCGGGTGCAACAAACAAAAACATGAACAAGAGCATCTTAAAGTGACTACGCGCAACAGAAACATCCAGGAAAAAACAGCAACGTCTTCCAGAAAAAAACACCGTATATCAGCGCTGTGTGCAAAAATCCCAGTGGGATGCAATTCAAACAATAACAACCATAAGACAATTTAGATTAAAGTTATCACGCTAACTCTGTACTACAACAAACAAACAAACATGGCTAAACCATACGTTTTCGAAATCACCAAAATAAAGCTATAAAAATAATGTAACAGTGATCATAGGAACTGTGATTCAAATTTAACAGGTTAAGCCCACTGTGCTATATCGCTGTTTTTCAGAAGTCACCTGGTCACAAATGATAGCCCAACGAGAAGTGGCTTATGTAGAAATGTATCGTAGCCAAATGCTCTAAAAGCGTGTCTCTAAATGTGGAGGACCCGGATAGAAATCGACGCGACCACGGGGAGAGAGACACGCAAACTACAAATATACAGTAGCAGGCGTCTGGGTAGGGATTGAACCCACGACCTCCTGTATACCAGGCGAGGTAGTTAACATTTCGTCACCGCGGTGCCTCCTGTACGTGCCTAATGCGACCGTGGTTATGGAGATTTTAATTTAGTACATTTATGTTTGGAAGGATGTTATTAACCAGGTGAAACGGTAACTGTCTATGGTTGTTCCATCGTATTTACCGAGCACTAGTCTATTCTGCCGAGTTAATTGCATCCCCAGCGTTTGGCAGTACTGCTACTGTTGCTTTGTTGTCTTTCATTGGCTTTACTGTAGTGGTGTTGGCTTTTTTGCACTTCTCCAACGTCCGCTGCTGTTGCTTTCCTGTCTTTCATTGGCTTTGCTGCAGTGGCATTGGTTTTCTGCACCTTTATAGCCCCGCCCACTTCCCCCCCCCCGTCCAGTAGCATTCCACACAACGCGACCCTCCCCCTACTCCCCCCCTCCCTTGCTCCTCCCCCCTCTCTAACCTATATAACCCCTTACCACAGCATCTCTCCCACTTCAGCTAAAAACATTTTCTTGCTGTAGTTTTCACACCTGATGTTGATTGCTTGTGTTGCAATCGAAACGCCGTGAGAATTTGTATTATGTTATATTTTTATTATTTCCCTTCTACGTGACTTTACCGAAAGAACCAAGAATATGAATCCCTGCAGTCACGAAAGCTTTAAATGGAAACATTTATGTTTCTTCGTTAATTTATTGCACATCTCTCCATTTGATAACATACTCAACCGAAATATACCTCAACTTGCCCACAATCTTAGTGTGTGTCTGGCACAGTGAGCTTATAAATATCCTTCGTACGTTGTCTGTAGTCCCTAACATGAGGCCCGAGGCATTGCAGTCCAGTCGCCGTCGCTGTGTGACGGCACACCGCTTGCTTGTCTGTCATATTGCCATCAGTACGCAGCGAACACTTGATATGAGAGACGAGGCCACTGCTTGCGAAATCCCAATGGGGCGAGATCGGTTCACGTTGAGCTCTTGGAAACGCCGCACGCCCTATGACTTCATCGTAGTGGCGGCTGTTGCAGCAGCGGCGGCGGCGGCGACACAGTGCCGCGCGCAACCCGGCACCGTGCCGGGCGTAGCGCCGGCGAGGCTCCGACGTAGCGCCACGGCGTTCGTGCTCGCCGACGGTGGCCGCCCCTCGTTCGGGGGGCCGGGAGTGGGGGGGGGGGGGGCGGTGGCCGCCGCGCAGACGCACGCTGCCCCGTCGCCGCGTGCGAGCGTCTGATGGCGGGAGGAACGTTGTTTTCTTGAGAAGGCCAAGCTTCGCGCCCTTAATGGCTTCGGAGGAAGACGATATGTGTGGCACGCGATATCCGTCAGCGCCGTCGTTGTAACCCAAACCTGTCGGGGCGCGTGCAGCTTTGCGAGGTTTTACGCGTAAGTAGGACACGCCGAGCCTACCGCGTTGAGGACACGGCCTACCAGACCTCACTGTATCGTCTCATCCACAATGTTGAGCCACAGCACTCCCTGCAGGTCACACCGATATGCTCACCCGCTCGCCCGCACACTCACCCACTCGCCACACTGCAGGTCACAACAATACACTCACCCTCTCACTCACCCGCTCACCCACTCGCTCACCACACTGCAGGTCACAACAACACACTCACCCTCTCACTCACCCACTCGCTCACCACACTGCAGGTCACAACAACACACTCACCCTCTCACTCACCCGTTCACCCACTCGCTCACCACACTGCAGGTCACAACAACACCCTCTCACTCACCCGCTCACCCACTCGCTCACCACACTGCAGGTCACAACACACTCACCCTCTCACTCACCCGCTCACCCACTCGCTCACCACACTGCAGGTCACAACAACACACTCACCCTCTCACTCACCCGCTCACCCACTTGCTCACCACACTGCAGGTCACAACAACACACTCACC